GCATTAAGGAATCATAGAGGGCTTTGGTTCTTTGGAGAGATCTACAATTTGGGTTATCTTGCTATAAAATAAAGCCTCTCAAATGGTCCCTTCCAAAGTTTGAAATTATCCTTACTTTTCAAGTAACCAGGCATTTAGAACTCTCAATTTTTAGAATGAAAAGATTAATATCAAAGATTGGACTACTCTTTTCTATCAGCCTTCCAAGAGCCCTTAGTCACTGCATTTAGTCTAGTCTCCCTAGCCATCTGTGTCTATTAAGTTCCTGTATCATCTAGTGTTTAAGACCAGATCCTGAATTTCAAAACTAAGAAAACAGAATTATTTATGAAAGATACTCAACCAAGGTTTTCTGATCATTCTTCAGTTAAATAGAATACCCCATTATAAACATTCTAGTTTTCAAAAACTTACTGTGTTAAATTCAAATTAGCTGGGGAAGGAATAGATAGGTGGGCATATGTGTGATAAAGTATAATTTACTGTTAATTGCAGACTCTAGGTAGTGGGTATATGGGTGTTTACTGTACTTTTTGTTACTAAAGACATAACAATGTTAATAGGATGGGGAGAAATTAAGGCTACTTTACTAGTTCACTGCAACATATATGAGGCATTTGCCAATAATTCAATAGGCTTACATGTAGCATATAGCACAAATACATTAATCTTTTGAGGTGGTAAACTTGAGTCTCCTGAATGTTTTTCTTTGCATTTTCAGGTAGGCTGATTAGTTATATTTCTAAAACAACAGAACAACTCTAGTCAATGACTTAAACACCAAAGCCATTGTAAATAAGAAATGAAATTTTAGAGAAATGATAATGTATTTAAGCATTGGTTTATTTAGGAAATATGACAGCGGACACTTAATCTATACTAATAAAAGGGTAATATGCTAATTAGATCAGATAGACTGGACGTCTTCCAGACGTCCTTCCAGACAAAGTGGCAGGGGCAGAGGCAGAGGCAGTTAGGAGCGGTCAGGACAGCAGGGGAGCAGTTAGGGGCATCAGGCAGGCAGGCAGAGGCAGTTAGGGGCGATCAGGCAGGCAGGCAGAGGCAGTTAGAGGCGATCAGGCAGGCAGGCAGAGGGGTTAAGGGTGATCAGGCAGGCAGGCAGGTGAGCAGTTAGGAGCCAGTGATCCCGGATTGTGAAAGAGATGTCCGACTGCGGGTTTAGGCCTGATCCTGCAGTCGGACATCCCCCGAGGGGGTCTCAGATTGGAGAGGGTGTAGGCCAGGCTGAGGGACAACCCCCCCTTCCGTGCACGAATTTTGTGCACCGGGCTTCTAGTGTTAACATAAATGTCAATGCTAAAAGAAGCTTTAATTAGGGGAGGATAAAGACATAGGTGGAGACTATAAAGATTCTGAAGGCGATTTATAATAATTGCCCATGGTTTTAGAGGACAATTAAAGAAATAACCTACGGTGGAATAACTTGAACTTCAGTGAATGTGATTCCAAAAAGAGAAGAAGATGGCTGAAGGGCTGGTTAGCAATGAAGTGACTAGGGAGTAGAAGGGCAAGGCAGTGTGCAATTCTTAACACTTGGTTGGTTCCTTCTCTTCAAAGCCTTTAATACTGAATACCAGTGGAGCTAATGGAAAGCTAAAAGTGTTTAACATTATTCCTTAAGTGATGTAGTTCCACTTTCCATGACAGATACTCATATACTAGTAAAACCACAACCTGTTAGTCAAAATAGATAAGGGTAGACAAAGTGTGGTCACTAAAACCTCTTAAAGACTATCAGTATATTGGACCAGCAGCTCAGAGCTCTATGTAAATTTTTCATCCATGTTTTTAAACAAACGTTTGAAATTATACGGTATAAAACAAAAAATAGTTAGACTTTATAAGTATTAAAAATTATAGTAAATATCCTATAAAGCTACAATATTTCTAATTAAGCTACATTTAACATTTTAAGGTCAAATTTTAAGGTTTACTGACAATGATGAATATTAATGTTTTTCCTTAACTAAGGTTCTTATGAATTATATATTTTGCAATGTGTTAAAATAAATTTAAATAACATTCCCTCTCATTTTAAAAATATTAAACTACCCAGAAAGAGTCTGACCAGTCATATAGCTTAAGTTGATTTTGAAAAGGTCAACAACAGCGTACTTTTTCTCAAGGTGTAAAGTATTACCACAAAGCAAATGCTGTGTCACAAATATGATTGGAATGGTTAATTACCGCCCCCCCCCCCAATCCATTAAAATTTTTCTTACTATTAAAAGAAATAAGCTATCACTTGGGTTTATGGCTATTTTATATTATTTTTTGTTGAAATTAAAATCAACAGCATTGTAAATCCTATTATTAGGAGTAAGCTAAAAAAAAAACAAAACTAGAATGTAGTTATTTTAGAAAATGGTTGTAGCAAAGAATTCTGGTTTTCCTCAGCCTACCTCTATGAAGCTATTTCTAAAAAGCACTAGTACTTGGGCATTTAGTTCATCAAATTATACTCCTAAATTAGAGTAGTAATTTTTCTTGTTTCAATTAAATAAGCTGTAACACATTAAAAAATAGAAATGAACGTGCAATCAATCCATTTCTACACTAACTAGCTAGGCATTCTCTCATTTAAGAGAATGACCCTTGAAATTTTCTAAATGCATTCTGAAAGAACCTGTCATTCTTGATTTTAATTTGTAATCTATTTTATAAGCTAGTTTATAAAACAACAGGTATAGGTTAAATATTGAATTATGTGAACCAAATATACACTTAAAATCACACTTAAAAAATTGTGATTATCAACCAACCCACTGAGCATCCATCTACCTCCACAAACTGGTATTTATGTTCATAAGTTTAGGTTGTGGTATATTCCTAGAATATAAAGTCAGGAAAGACTATAAAACAATTCAGGGAAAAATACTACTATCAAAGTACTGTTTTAACTTGAGAGAAGTTGAATCAACGTAAAATATCTTAACACTTCTATCAGGGAATACTACATTTCTAAAATGGTTTATAACTCCATTATCTTTATACTTAATTTGTGAACACCTTTTAAAAGATATACAAGATATAAATTTTCCAGAGGGCCTAAATCAATCTGGTAGGCCAATACCCAAGTTAATGCAATGATCCTAAATACCCTATTTTTTTTTAATCGAGAGTGATTTTGATGTTAAGTTGCATAATCATTTATTACTTGAAAATGTTTCCTAATCAAATATATATGAGTTCTGACTCAAACCCACACATCTCACTGAACCACTGGTTCTTAAACTCTTGGGAGCCATGGACTTGTTTGAAAATCCACAGTGCCTAAACCTGAAGGTTTGGTTCCATAACAGATTATGATCCTCTGCACCAGAAGTAGCACATATTTATCTATATAAGACCTCAAATATGCTCCCATCCTGTTTGGAAAATTAATTTTTAACTCTAAGAAATCACAATTTTAATGTAGTTTAGAAGTATTACAAAAATATTTCTAAATGCTTATTCCTTTAAACTTTGACTAATTTTGCTTCTTGCAATGGGATTAGAATAAAGGCAGGAATTCTTATTTGTAATACGGTGGGGCCTTAACTTAAGAGTTTAATTCGTTCCGTGACGGAGCTCGTAACTCATATGTCAAATCTTAAAGTGAACGAGTGAGACATGTGATGCTGGGCTGATGTTGTGGCGTTCACTGTGACGTTCGCTGCGCCAACTAGCGGTGGGGTATCTGAAGCTGGCTCGTAATCCGAATTTTAGCTCGCAACTCAAAGCAAAAAATCCATCGAGAGACGGCTCGTATCTTGAAAAACTCGTTAGTTGGGACACTCGTAAGTCAAGGTCCCACTGTATAACAACAGTATGTCTTAGAATAGTTGTATCTCAAGTAAACACTACAAATGATATCTCAAATCCTGAAATAAGATAATTCACATTTAAAAATAAATTAGCCCAATGGCATAAGATTAAATCCTAAACTCCAAATAAAAAATTTGGCATTATCCCCCATTATCTGTTTGCAGATGCAAAATATCAGCTGCTATATAGAAACTGTATATTATTCATGGGGAGAAAGAAAACAAGCAGGGGCAGTAGCCATCTTTATTTTCTTTGTCATTAACTTACCCTCTATCATTGTAAACAAATGGACGTAGGTAGTGCCCTACACTAAACTTGGGAAGTAAATGAGTCAACATATTATCTTTAAAGGAAATTATTACAGATGTGTAAAACATTTGCTTTACTTATTAACAATCTTACACTAAGTATCCTTTCTTAAGTACTCCAAGAAATAATTCTGTAACAAAAGTGAACCCTAGAGTAGATATACCCAAAAGATAATTTTCCTGGGCACCAGTACAATTTGTAATAAATTTCTACTCAGAGTCACTGAACCTATTTTCATTAAAGCCTATAATAATTTATTTTTCTAATTCTATTCTCTTTTCCATCTAAACATTACCTTAGTTTAGCATATATCTGTCAAAGACTATTCTTTTCCAAAAAGGCAAAGCATAGTAGTCAGGGAGAGGCAGTCTAGAGCCCAGCCACCCGCCAGCTCCAAAGTCTTAATAGCTATTGACCTTATGCATGTCCTTTAACTTCTCTGCATCTCACTTCTGTATCTGCAGTGGTATTTACCTCATAAAGCTATTGTGGTGATGAGGGAATAATGTAAAACTTACAGAACAGTGCCAAGCATATAGTTATATACTCAAAAAAGTTTGAACTACTATCATTCCAGTTTTTCCATCAAACCAAATAGCATCCTCCTAACCAGCCTAGGGATCACAATTTGGAAAACCAAATGAGATGTAAATCTAAGGATTCAGCATGTTCAGAAACATTGCCTTATCAAATTATTAAAATAATGGCTAAATGCTTAGTAAAGACACTACAATCAAATCCTTGTATTTGGTATCCTTGTATATGTAAACCCAAACATTTATTTAGAAAATATAAAAAGTTACTATTAATAATTGTCTTGCTCTTTTTTCAGACTATCTTTTAAATTTTCAATAGTGCCACATAATTTTGAAACTAAATTTTATTACAAATGAACATGAACTTCAAAGAGCTGTAGTACTGAAGTAACTCCTGCTATGATTAGAGAAATTCTACTCAGGAAGTACAGTATACATGAATTTGTGGTACTTGCCCAAATATTACAAGTATATAAATCATTTTGTAAAGTTGTTTCTTACACATAGGATCTAAAATGCAAAGAAAAATGGAATTTGTATTCAAAACAAATAGAAGCAACACTGGCTTCTATATGCTAAACCTATAAGACAGATTTTTTTCTTAAGCACTCTAGATACAAATATTAACTGTATGGGCTGAAAACTTTTTAATTTTCAATGTAATTCAACAAGGTACACAAGTAGAACTCTATAAATATATCCCCTATAAGAATCGTATTTATCACAAATACTACCAAAACCCTCTGAAAAACATAAACTACAAACACATTTTAAAGAAATTCTCATTTTTAACAACTACAAAAGCAATGAATAGCAATAAAATTATTTGGTTTAAAAAACGAAGGGCAGTGTAATGTAAATACAAATATTGGATTGTTTTTGAGGATGCAGTCTTGAGTTTCTTAATACAACTAAACACTTCCAAAAGTAGTAAGACATACTCTATACAATTTAAAGGCTTAACCTAAAGCTCTAAAAAGAAAAAAAATTAAGCAGTAGATGAAAAGTAGGTATGTAGAAATAATGGTATAAAATATTATTTTTATACAATGGGTACCACTCTTTAAAGAGATAAGGCTTAATATGATTATTTTTGGACTATGAGTGTTGCCCACCATTTTTATAGTAGTCTCAAACCATTCAAAATTCAGTATTCAAAAAATGTTTTGCTATTTCTGAAGTGACTGAATATAGTACAGGATGCAATTTAATGTCAACTTACCTATGCTTTTCCACCCAATAAAAATAAAACCTTTTTTAAGCTTAGAAGCTTAGAAGAGAATCTATCTTTTGAATGATTGATCTCTATATAAATTCAACTTTTAGGGATGTCAGAATTTTGTAATATGAACTAATCTCCACCGAGAATTGGCCCAAGTTTAAACAGAAGACACAAAAGAGACATAGTTGTCAAACAGTTTAAGTCTGCCCTATGCAATTATATAGTCATAATTACTTTTTACATGAAAGTGATTTAAAGTAAAAAATATTTTTGTAAAAGGTATTATTAATATTACTAACTAATACAGTAGTCCCCCCTTATCTGTGGTTTTCCTTTCCACGGTTTCAGTTATGCATGATCAACTGTGATCTAAAAATATTAAATGGAAAATTCCAGAAATGAACAATTCCTAAGTTTTAAATTGCATGCAGTTCTGAGTACTTCATCTCATCATGTAGGCATTGTAATCTCACAAGAGTGAGGCCAGTACAATATTTTGAGAGATCACATTCACATACCTTTTATTATAGTATATAATTATGTCTATTTTATTATTGTTTATATCTTACTGCGCCTAATTATAAATTAATCATGATCATAGGTATGTGTGTATAGAGGAAAACAGTCTATATAGAGTTTGGTACAATCTGTGGTTTCAAGCATCCAACAAGGAGGGTTTTGAACATATCTCCATGGAGAAGGGGGGGACTACTGTACTTACATCAAAGTAGAATTTTCTAAGTTAGTTCCATTTTACCCATTTCCTTTGAAAAGTACCCTTCTGCCACAATGTAAACAAAAATGGTCCATAAAATGGTAACATTAGACATCAAAATTTGTGGTGTGGGCCCTTAAATGGAGACCAAATCTTTATTAACTCAAAGCTAGAGAGGTTTTGTTTCTTGTACATGCCCAGAGGTAACTAATATTAACTCACATTTTCTGTAAGCCTTGAAGAATTTTTATTTAACATAATGAGAGGTTTAATAACTTAGATTAAAGACTATCTTGCACTCTTCTCTTGTTGTTCACCAACTGTTTTTATGACGATAACTCCGAGATCTGGAATGTGATCGAAAATGAGAGTGTTTTGCTGTCTGTGCTTTTGTGTCAGAATTGGTATACCCTTTAGGAGATTTACATGGGGATCTTACTATGGAGTCAGAATGTCTTCCATGTGACCTTGATTTTGTTCCTGAGCTAGTCTGCTTTTGAGGTGAACTTGATTGTGATTTTCCTATTGATTTTGATCTTTTTTCTAAGGACTTGGACCTTGACCGTCCTCTAGAACCAGAATTCCGTCTTGGAGTTCTTGACTGCCTTGCTGAGGTAGACCGCCTTGGTAGTGACTTGGAGCGAGATTTAGACTGGCTATAAGAAAGTCGCCTGTGTCGAGACCTGCAAACATCCACAATGTTAGAGTATATATTTCACACAAAAGCAGTTAATAGATTAGGAAAAAACACTTGCAGGAAATTATATACTTCAGATAATATTAGTTATGTTTTTATTGGCTAAGTTAAAAGAAATAATTCTAATTTTATTATGCATGCTTTTGGTTCAAACATAACAAGTTTGTAATACTCGTTATATAGAATATATAACCAAAAGATATTTACTTTGCTACATACTAGTAATTGTTATGACATGGGTCAGTTCTGAAAAATACCCTGCATATTTAGTATGGGTTACACAACTCCCAAGAGGTATGAAAATCTAAAGAAAAAAATGTAAAAGAGAGAGGGAAAGAAAATAATTATTTAAAGTTTATCAAATAATGCTTATAACAACAAAAATTTAGATGCAGGACTTCTGAATTCTACCATGATAAAACAGCTTGTACTAGATTAATCTTCCCATAGAAATTAACTATATAAAAGAGGTAGACAAATGATGATGGAAGGAGACTTAACTCGGGGTGGTGAACAAATGATACAATATACAGAGATGTATTATAGAATAACACACCTGAAACCCATATAACTTTATTAACCAATGTCACTCCAATAAATTCAATTTTAAAAAGAGTAAAAGAGCTCTGGCCAGTGTGACTCAGTGGTTGAGCATTGACCTATGAACCAGAAGGTCATGGTTCAATTCCAGTCAGGGCACATGCCTGGGTTGTGGGCTTGATCCCCAGTAGGGGGCGTGCAGGAGGCAGCCGATCAATGATTTGATCTCATCACTGATATTTCTATCTCTCCCTCTCCCTTCCCCTCTGAAATCAATAAAAATATATTTAAAAAATAAAAAACAAAACAATTAAGAGAAAAAAAGTAAATAACATTTATAAAACAACTGTGGTGACTAACCCACACAAGCAGAACTTGGGGGGTTGTAAGCCATAGTTTGTTTTTGTTTTATTTTGTTTATACTTCTATTGATTTTATAAAGGAAGGGAGAGGGAGAAAGAGAGGGAAACATCAATGATGAGAGAGAATCATTGATTGGCTGCCTCCAAAACGCTCCACACAGGGGACTGAGCCCACAACCCCAGCATTTGTGCTGACTGGGAATAGAACCCTGACCTTCTGGTTCATAGGTTGTCACTCAACCCCTGAGCCAAGCCAGCTAGGTAAGCCGTGGTTCTCTTACTCAGGCCATTTTCTTAATAACAGCATTGGAAATAGAGCCCAACTAGAAAATGGTTATTTGACTAAGCTGAAGAGACAGAGGTTAAAATTCAGGGCTACCAAAGTGGCTGAGACTTGAAAGGCAAAATCCAAGATATGAGAGAATTACAGACAAAAAACAAAGCATAAAAAACCCCAAATTCTGCTTATAAATTCTCAAGTCACTGGCCATCTTCCAAATTGTGCATGCCCAGAATGAGACTCCCAAGAGGTCAGAAAACTGCAGCTGCACCCTAGCCCAGTGAGGGCGAACCTATGGCACGCGTGTCAGAGGTGACACGTGAACTCATTTTTTTGGTTGATTTTTCTTTGTTAAATGGCATTTAAATATATAAAATAAATATCAAAAATAGAAGTCTTTGTTTTACTGTGGTTGCAAATATCAAAAAATTTCTATATGTGACATGGCACCAGAGTTAAGTTAGGGTTTTTCAAAATGCTGACACGCCGAGCTCAGAAGGTTCGCCATCACTGCCCAGCCGGTTGGCTCAGTGGGTAGAATGCTCGCCGCGGAATGAAGGGTCTCAGGGGGATTCTGATCAGACAGGGCAGCAGGCTCAATCCCCAGCCCGGTCGGCATGTAGAGGAGGAGGCAACCAATGGTGACACCAGCATGTTTCTCTCTCCCCTTCCCCTTCCATTTGTTGTAAAATCAATGTCCCCATATATGTTACTCTTTCACAATTGCCTCTCTTTGTTCAACCTAATTTAAAATCATGTAGGTGCTGCCACTCATTTGGTTCTTCTTTTTCTAATGAGGGCGCCTGTGTCAGGTGAACTGGGCTAAATCAATGTGGATGCTTTTATACTGTGAAACCGGATCTGCCAGTGTTCTTCTTCGGCCGCAGACCGAACGGGCAGAAGAGTTTCCCTCTGCACACACCGCCAGCGCCCGCGCTACAATTGCTGCAGTGTCCGGCGCAGAGGGTCTAGGCCAAAAGGGCAGAAACGGAAATAGGTGTCGCCTTCGTTCTCTAAAAGGAAGGGAGGAGCACTCGGTTTCTTAGGAAATCCAGGGTGAACGCTGCGCTCCTTTATGCCGAGAGCTGCAGACAGACCCCCATCTACACCGGGCACCCGCCCCGGAGCAGAGCGGCCGGATGGGGGGACACTCAGCCCCTGGGCCAGGCCGGCCGTGGTTCTTTGACTCAGACCATTTTCTTAATAGCAGCACTGGAGTGTCGCTGGCTCCCCGCTACACACATTCTCATCCGGGTCTCACAGAAACCTAACAGGTGGGCATACCGCACCCTCTTTACAACCTGGGGAAATAGACACAGAGACAGGGTGTGGCTTAGACCCGAATGGAGCCGCGACTCAACTTCGGCACCACCACCAGGGGCTGCCTCGCCCTCTGCGGGCCGCGCACCTCTGCCTCCCAAACGCCCGGCCCGGCCTGGCCCGGCCCTGATCGCGCACGGAGGACTCTCATAACAGATCCACGCCGGGACCAGGGCCCGCCAAGGCGAGGAATTTAAAACTCCCCCCTAGCTGCGACTGTCTTCCGGCTGGTCGCCAGGCCTAAGTAGAGCGAAGGTATCTGCTTCAAGTATCAGAGTGACGTAGGTGACCAGAGGCGGGGATATGTAGATGAGCACAGTGCGGTGACTGCTGGTTCGAGTGTATTAACGGAGCAAAATTTCCTCTGGATATCCAAAAGAACGTATCTTAGTCTCTGTCATATAAATAACACTGCAACTTAAGAGTCGAAGGGCAAAAGAACGCTCAATATAATTAACCATGACCTTAAAGTGTGTTGAGGATGATGGTGACGTGCCAGGCAGGATCCTAACCTCATACTTACCTGGCAGGGGAGATACCATGATCACGAAGGTGGTTTCCCCAGGGCGAGGCTTACCCATTGCACTCCGGGTATGCTGACCCCTGCGATTTCCCCAAATGTGGGAAACTCGACTGCATAATTTGTGGTAGTGGGGGACTGCGTTCGCGCTCTCCCCTGGTGAACTGGTTTCCCAAAGATAGCTTTTGTTCCAAATGACTTTGGTGTCTTTCTTCCACATTAGGGTTGTGCAGGAGTGATTACTGCTCCTGTTTGTTTGTATTCCCCCAGGGAGAATGCTCCAACTAACTGAGGTACCTTACTGGATTCCTATTTAAGTTTTCACTCTAATCGTGGGACGGTTGTTATGTAGAAGGAGAACTATTGAGTATAAAATGTGCGTGTAGCTGAAAAGTCCCGTGGAAACCAGGTGTTGGTGAAGATCTGAAAAACTGGAATTCCTGTGCACTGCTGGTGGGAATACAAAGTGGAATGACACCTATAGGAAATGTATGGCAGTTCCTAAAAAATAAAAATATAAGTATGCAGTCAGTTTTCATATGATCCAGCGATTTTACTTCTGGATATATACACAAAATAATTGAAAACGGATTTGAAGAGTTATTTGTACATTCCTGTTACTAGCTGGCAGCATTATTCACAATAGCCAAAGGTGGGGGTAAAAAGAAATAAAAATAAATGGAAAAATATCCTCAGGTGAGGATTTACCAAAAAAACAAAAACCTGCAGCTGAAAGACTGAATAACTGAGCTGAAATTTTATCAGAGACATACTGCTGGGGACAGACTGGAGTTCGAGAATCCAAAAGGTCAAGGAGTCTTAAGTAAGAGCCCAGCTTTCCAATTAAAAACCCAGAAGGGCAGTATCCTATAGGTAAGGACCAGGCCCTAGGAATAAACGTGAAGCTAAATAAATCAGCCTTATCAATGCCTCAAACTAAGCCTTGAAAGGGTCAAGGTGATCTGCCAATACTCTGCCTGCTAGAAGAAAACAACTTTCTTTGGAGGATGGTAGCATCCAAAGTTTCTATAATTTTTCATTAACAATGTCCAACATCCAATACAAAATTATAAGGTATGTGAAAAATAGATTAAAATGATTAAAAACTAACAAAAAAAGGATAAATTAACTACACCCAAAATAATTTGGTATTATTGTTATTCAGACAGGAATTTTAAAAATTACTATGACTAACATGTTTTAAAAAAATAAGAGAAAAAGACAAAATAGATGAAAAAGATAGAAAATTTCAAAAGAATTTTGGAATCTATAAAAAGAAACAAATGGATATTTTAGAACTAAAAAAATATATGTCTGAAGTTAAAGTCACTAAATGGATTTAACAGCAGTCTAGATACAACAAGAAATAGTGAAATGAACTGAAAAACAGATTATTAGAAAAATATTATACTGAAACACAGTAAGAGAAAAGGAATTTTATGAAATCCAGAACAGAACATAATAGATATTTAGAACGTAGTCACATGGCCAAAAGGACAAACTGAATAAGGCAGAAGTATATCTGAAGAGATAATGTCCTAAAATTTCTGAAATGAATAAAAAAGCATCAACTCACAATTTTGAAAAGCTCAATAACCCAGGTAGAATAAGTACAAAGAAAACTACATCAGGTATCTTCCTATATAAAACCCTAATATGCAAATAGAACAACGGAACAACTGAACAACCAAACAACAGTCACCGTGACGTGCACTGACCACCAGAGGGCACATGCAGAACATAGCAGGCATCAGATGCAGTGGAATGGTGGAGCAGGTGAGTGGGGCAGCCAGACCAAGGCCAGTCCCAATTGCCCCTGAGGGCTTCTCCACTTCCCCCTGCTCCTGAGGGGCGATCAGGGCTGGCAGCCACCTCTCGTACCTGCTGCCAGGGACAGCCCCACTTGCACCTGCTGACAGCACCGGCCCCACTCGCACCCACTGCTGACACTGGCCCCAGTCACTCCACACTGTCAGCAGGAACGGGGCCAGCGCCATCAGTGAGTGGGAGCAGTGGCGGCAGAAGTGGGGCTGCCGGCAGATGGGACTGGGGGCCGCAGCGGGAGGGGCCAGGTCTTGGCCCACCCCTGTGCCCCACCACAGCCTTGCAGCCCACAGTTCCTTTCAAGGGGCACAAATTCGTGCACTGGGCCCCTACTATCACAATGAAACTGCAGAAAACAAAGCCACAGAGAAAACTATGGAAATCTGCTAAAGAATAAAAGACATTACCTTCAAAGAAGCAACATTAAGAATTCCAGCTGACTATGGATATTAGAAAAACAATGGAATGATATTTAAAAAGAAAGGGGGGAAAAAGTCTTTACCAACCTAGAAATCCATCCCCAGCAAAAATATACTTCAAACATTAATATGAAATGAAGATGTTTCAGACAAACAAAAGCTGAAAGAATTCATTGCCAGCAGACCTATACTATATATAAAATATACTAAAAAACTTTTAAATGAAGAAAAATAACCTTAAACAAAAGTATGGAATTACAGGAAAGAATATAGAGCACTGAAAAGTATGAATATATTGATCTAGAATATATTCTGGAATAAAAGCAGTCCTTTAGAAATTATTAAATTTCATTCCTGTGGTACATAGTTCTAGAAAAAAAATAAAAAACAGAACACTGTCCTTGAAAAAAAACATCTAACATGGAAAAAAAAGATGCTATTTTAACATTCTTTGAGCTAGGGACTACTGCTAAATGCTAGGGATACAAGCCTGAATAAGACAGAAGTCCTTGCTCCCCAAAGAGCTCATAGTCTACTAATAGCAACAAACTAGCTTTGCCCCCCACACACATTTACTAAAGGCAAAATAAGAGACCTGTTTTTAGTCCAAAGTAATATCACATATACTGTATATATGTACAGTGCATGTTTGGTTTATATGTATTCTCTCTCACATGAACATACTCATGTAAAATCTGATCTTTGTGAATACTTTGAGAGCTAGGTAAGATATACATTCTCTATAATATAATTTTACAGATTAAAAAAACCAAGGTCAGTGAAGTTAAGCAATGACCTTATAACTAATACAAAGCAGAACAGCATTGTCTTGCAAGAATATGTGTTCTTTTTTTTTTTTTTTTTTTTTTTAAATATATTTTATTGATTTTTTTACAGAGAGGAAGGGAAAGAGATAGAGAGTCAGAAACATCGATGAGAGAGAAACATCGATCAGCTGCCTTCTGCACACCTCCTACTGGGGATGTGCCCACAACCCAGGTACATGCCCTCGACCGGAATCGAACCTGGGACCCTTCAGTCTGCAGGCCGACGCTCTATCCACTGAGCCAAACCGGTTTCGGCGAATATGTGTTCTTTCTATACCTGCTACTCCATCATGATTTGGAACAAAAGACGTTTTTTTGTTTGTTTGTTTTTCTCCAGCTAAGTATTATACTTTACTTCAACTAGAAGATGGTTAACTAAGGCTCTAATGTATTTGGAAATAACTTATATTCTTAATGAATGAAAATGGACAACTTCTTTTCTTTCTTTTATAAACTAAGTCTATCTACCAAGACCACTGGATATTCAGTATGTCAAGACAGTGCTGCTTTAGCACAATATTATATCTACTTTGAACTTTGATATATAAGACTTTCATTTTATGTGAACACTAGCCACATCACTATAAATGTATGGTAAATTATACATGTATAGTCTATATATAGCCTATACATGTATAGTATATATAATAGTATAGAGAGATATATAAAATTCACAGTGAATGAACTGTTGAACATCACTCCCTTACACTATTCATGTCCCCTGTGAGCCAGAAGCAATACCAATGGTATTAGTTGTGAATGTAGTTCTCTCTTCCTATTTTCCCTTTCACTTGGCTGGAAGGATTGGTGCCAGGCCACTTGGAGCGAAGACTCTCTCACCAGCTCTAGTACATATATCCTACTTTGAGCTTTTTTTTTGTCTAGGCTCTTAGGAGTTGAGGAATGGAGTCCTGACCAGTGTGCTCAGTGGATTGGAGTATCATCCTGTACACCAAAAGGTTGTGGGTTCAATATCCTGTCGGGGTGTGTATGGGACATAGCTGATGGATGTTTCTCTTTCCCTTTCTTTCTTTCTCTCTCTCTCTTCCCCATCTTTAAAATCAATAAACATATCCTCAGGTGAGAATTTAAAAAAAAGAGAGAGAGAGAAATGTAGCTAGTGTAATGGAGAGACTGAATTTTAGAAAGAGCTGAAGAATGGAGGGACTAGAGTGAAAGTGGACAGCCCTGGGGGCCATCTTTGATTTGAAATTCAGTGGGCCTGTAATAGCTTAGGTAGACTATATGCAGTCCAGGAGAGCTAACTCTTATTTACTAGAGGATACAAGTCTAAATACTGATCATTCTTTAAGAACAGAATTCACGGCGAGGCCCTCAGTAGACAGAGAAGTACAGACGGAACTGGGACCTCCTGCTTCAGCGAGATCACGTTTCTCAGTATCACCTCAATGAACAGGGAGATCAGGTCTATACCCTGAAGAAGTTTGATCCTATTGGACAACAGACCTGCTCGGCCCATCCTGCTTGGTTTTCCCCAGACCACAAATACTCTCGACACCGAGACACCATCAAGAAACATTTCAAGGAAGGTCCCTTAAATTTCATGTCTCTCCTGCCACCTGAGACCCCTCTGAGACTTTTTCGAAACCAAGCTTTTCAGTCTGTGAGCCTTGAGGCCTTCTTACCACCCTTGCTCTTTGGAATTGATGTCATCATTACCTTAGATCAGTGATGGCGAACCTTCTGAGCTCGGCATGTCAGCATTTTGAAAAACCCTAACTTAACTCTGGTGCCGTGTCACATACAGAAATTTTTTGATATTTGCAACCATAGTAAAACAAAGATTTATATTTTTGATATTTATTTTATATATTTAAATGACATTTAACAAAGAAAAATCAACCAAAAAAATGAGTTTGCGTGTCACCTGACACGCGTGTCATAGGTTCACCATCACTGCCTTAGATCATGCTTGTGTGAAGCAATCATGGTAGCACCCCCTCTTAAAGAAAACAAGTTTGAGTCTACTTTTCATATTTTGACTGCCACGTTATTAAAATGATTTGAAAGAGAAAAAAAAAAAACAGAATTCACTTTAAAATTCTATAAAAAATTCTCTATGAAAAAATTTCAGCATTAAACTCAGATAAATAATACAAAGTTTTAAAAACTTAGGCATGCTAATACAATTTGTTATTATTTAAATAATTTCACCAAGTAATTAATTTCCATTGTGATTTACTATTATTCTAACAGAAACAAACAACTGGCTAGCAAAATAGGTAACTTGCAAATATCTTTTTCTGAAAAATTTACTATTCTTATGTCTTCCTATAATACTACCATACTTGGAATTTATTTTTAAAATCACTAACTTTTTATAAATATATTTATTTACATTAATTTTAATGTCAACCACCATCCCTTCTTATGAGCTTTAACCACTAGCCACATCGGTGTGAGAGAAACATTCTTTAAATCACTTTAAAAATATGCTTTTACTAATTTTTAGAAGGGAGAGGACAGAGATAAGCATCGCTGTGAGAGCGTAACATCGAACAGCTGCCTCCTGCACACCCCATCCCGGGGATCAAGCCTGTAATCCAGCATGTGCCCTGGCGGAATCCAAATGGCAACCCTTTGGTGCACAGGACGACGCCCAACCAACTGAGCCACACCAGCCAGAGGAGAACTTAACATTCTTAATTGTTGGATTCATTTAGGAAATTCTTATTTAGTTAACATTCCTCATTTCTATTTGCCAAATATATATTTTTTAATATGCTGCTTTTTTCACTATGTATTATCTTTCCATTCAAAAAGTTGAGTCCCGAGAAGAAACAGAAGAAAAAAATAAAGAAAAAGCTTAATATTGGGAGGTATTCAATAAGCGTAAATTAATCTTTCTATAAAAGATGATTCTTTATGAATATTATTCTGGTGGCCTGGATTTTCTGTACACGTGTGTGTTGTTTTTTTAAAATAATATTTTATTGATTTCAGAGAGGAAGGAATAGAGAGACAGAAACATCAATGATGAGAGAGAATCATTGATCGGCTGCCTCCTGCAGACCCCTTATTGGGGGATTGAACCCGCAACCCAGGTATGTGCCCTGACCCTGACCGGGAATTGAACTGTAATTTCCTGGTTCATAGGTCGATGCTCAACCACTGAGCCACACTGACCGGGCTCAAAGCTCCTTAAAAGGTTTTCCGGCCTGGGCTGATTTGGCTCAGTAGATAGAGCATCCGTCTGCAGGCCAAAGGGTCCCGGGTTCAATTCCAGTCAAGGGCACATACCTTGTTTGCTGGCTCCTCCCCAGCCTGGGCCCTGGTTGGGCACATGCAGGAGGCAACCAACCAATGTGTTTCTCTAACATCGATGTTTCTCTCTGTCTTTCCCCCTCTCTTCCACTCTCTCTAACAGATCAATGAAAAAATATCCTTGGGTGAGGATTAACAAAAACAAACAAAAAAATGTTTTCCAGAAAAAGTAGAAAATTAAGTTTTCAATACTCTTGTATTTGATACTCACTCTTTAAGGCTATCAGACCGCCTCCTATTTCTTCCCCATGAAGAACTTCTACTTCGAGTTCTCCGTTGGCTGGGGCTTCTTGACCTCCTATGGTCACTTGGAGAACAAGGGTGACGTTCTTTTGATTTCATTTGGCCTGGTGCTAGATAGAATATGAAGTGCAAGACCTCAGTCACAACTGCTCAAATCGTGTTATTTTCTAAAAGAATTTTAAACTAAAAAATCTGTCATTGCTAAAATTCATTCTGCTGAATAAACAAGATCTAACATTTAGTCACACTTACTTTTGCGGTCACCTTGTGCAAACTGTATTTCAATTTGACGGCCACATACCCATTTTCTATTGAGGTTATAAAGAGCATCTTCAGCATCTCGAACATCTTCAAATATGACTAGCTGTTAAGGACACTTTGAATGTCAGATATCAAGTAAAAATGTTATTTTAAAAGAATTATTTAGGTGACAGAAAATTAATAGAGAAAACAAGTTCAAGTTATTAAGCTCACATCTACAATATAATATGAATAATCAAAAAAATTTTTACTTTCATTATGAAAACAAATGCTCATTATGATTTAAAAGAGTGAATCTAAAAATAAAAAATGTGCAACTATATTTTAAATGTATACATTAGTATAAATGTATAATTTATGCTGTATAAATGTATAATTTCAAACATGTAATGAGAACAAAATACTAGTAAGTCCAACACTGCCCTTCTCTCAGGAAAAAATTCATCAGGTTTTTCACTAAAAGAAATCAGCATGCAGAAGCCTGTATTCTGAATTTAAATTACTCTTTTCAGCGAAAAGCTTTTTAATTATGATATTTTGGAGCAATTACTTACAAACAAAATGCACACACATAACTGAGCTAAAACACATTTTCAAAACTGATTTAGTTCTTTAAAAATGGTATTTACCTTTGAACCTACTGCTTTAAAATACCTTTATACTTTTATTACTTGGGGTATAAAAACATAGAAGTAATCTGTAAACATATGGAATTACATATATTGGTTTGTAATAACCCACTGAACTCCCTTATCTATGTAAATTATATATTAAACCTAACTAAAATAGAAATAAGCTATATAAAATGAAGAGCTGTATTTTAGGAGGTTATTCACTGGTTTAATTTTTTTTAATAGAAAACAGAAAAAGCCAAGAAATGCAATACAATATGAGACTTTGGCAATTACCTCAATGTCACTTGATCTTGAACCTTGACCTTTACTCTTTAAGGCTTGCAAGATGGACTTTATAAGAGACGAAGAAACCAACAAAATCAGACTTGGCTTTGACTCTGGAACTCTGAGTAAATGTAGGAAAGCCGAAGTCTCAACCTGGTGTTGGCTTTGTCTTTTGCTTGGTAAAGACTTCCCTCTTCCAGGTCTTTATCTGTGTCCACCCTCCCTCTTTACTCCTTGATGCTTGAACTTTAGGTGCCTTTTGTCTTGCCTGCTCGGTTTATGCTCGGATTCTAGCTAACAGGTTGGTTCAAACTGGGGGGCTCTTGCCAGCTACAGTGGGCTGCTTTAGATTTTCTGAGATAAAGAAATAAACACATTTAATTAGGCAATATTAATCTCATAACATATGCTCCTGAATACATATATGTAATTTGCACATGTATGTAGTATATTCAAATGCACAGAGTAAAATAAAGGATATTGAACATAAGCAAATCCTCTTGGACGGCGGGTGTAGAAGTCAAGTGGAATGTAAACGTCTACTATAGGGCCATACCGACCAAACTCACGACGCAAGTCCTCAGGCCTGAATTATTTTAGAAATAAGGCAAAGAAATATGAGTAGCTGCATTAAAATATCATGCCTACAGAAATCCAGTTGAAACCCTCAAAAGAAAGTACATTCTCTGTACTAGCATTACCTAAAATTATCTCTCAGAAGACTCACCCAGGGTTCACAAATGAAAGAGGGAAAAAAAGAAGAAAAATTCTCAGGCCTCACTTTCAGAGATTCTGGTTCAAGAAGTCTGGATTAGAGGCTGGAAATCTATATTTTTACAAGCACTCCAGGTGGCTGTCATGGCTACTTAGGTTGGGGAAACAATGACCCACATCCACCCCAAAGTTATTCCTATTACAAGATTTTTCAATGGTCATATAAACAGCCCTAACTATTAACTATTTCATTAGGAACACACTCATTAGCTTCATTAGAATTACATGTTTATGTTAGGTTGTTTTCAGAGCACAAGAATTAAAATTTAAAGAAGTCCTAAAATCTCTCGGCCACTGAACAGTGGTTGAACATCAACCTATGAACCAGGAGGTCACAGTTCAATTCCCAGTCAGGGCACATGCCCAGGGTTGCAGGCTTGATCCCCAATATGGGGATCAATGACTCTCTTTCATTGATATTTCTCTCTCTCTCTCCCTCTCACTTCCTTCCTGAAATCAATCAAAATATATATTTGAATAAGTCCTAAAGTCACTTCTCAGGTTTTGAAGAAAAATGGGTATTTTACATTAAGCATAAAGCAAAATAACTACTATGGTCTCAAATTTGACAAATATTTTTGAGCCTCCTATATGCCTTTTACTGTGCCAGATATTAAAGAGGGGAGACCCAAGAAATACATAGTTTATTTGTCTTCATAGAGCTACAATTTAACTGAAGAGACAAAATACTTAGCATTGATATCTGACAGTTATGGTGCATTTATATGCTAGCTTCTGCTTGCCCTAACACCACTAATTCTCACAACTCCATGGTTGTTTACAGATGAGGGCACAGACAGATTAACTCACTATGGTCACTGAGCCAGCGAGTGACAGAACTGGAATCAAACTCCCAGTCTGACACTAGTCTGGGTTCTTTCTATTTATTTATTTATGTATGTATGTATGTATGTATGTATTTATTTATTTATTTTTATTCATTGACTGATTTGAGAAAGAAAGAAACATTGATTTGTCATTACACTATTTGTGCATTCACTGGTTAATTCTTGTATGTGCCTTGACCAGGGACTGAACCTGTAACCTTCACATATCAGGACAACACTCTAACTGAGCTAACCAATACTGTGTATTTCCTCATGGAAACCTTAAGAAATTCAGCATCAAGCTATGGGCACAAAACATGGCTTTTATTTTTAAAAAATATATTTTTATTGAGTTCAGAGAGGACGGGAAAGGGATAAAGAGAAACATCAATGATGACCCCAATACAACATTGTTCCTATAGTAACAGCAGAAAGAAGCAGCTGTGAGGAGCCCGGCTCCTCACAATGGGGATCTGAGCTATGTGCAGGAACTCCTATTAACTGAGATTTTTCATTCTTTTTTATCAGAGCGCAGATAGGTCTTATTTCAGGAAAAGTAAAGCAGTCATTTACAAAAATCAATCTGTATCCTAAGGATTTTAATAAAAAGTTAAAACAAACAAAAATAATTTTTTTTAAAAAATATATTTTATTGATTTTTTACAGAGTACAGAGAGGAAGGGAGAAAGACAGTTAGAAACATTGATGAGAGAGAAACATCGATCAGCTGCCTCCCACACATCTCCCACTGGGGATGTGCCCGCAACCCAGGCACATGCCCCCAACCGGAATCGAACCCGGGACCCCCCAGTCCGCAAGCCGATGCTCTATCCACTGAGCCAAACCGGTTTTGGCAAAAATAATTTTATTTTAAAAAAGAAACATCAATGATGAGAAAGAGTCATTGATTGGCTGCCTCCTGCATGCCCCTCACTGGGGATCGAGCCTGCAGCCCCGGCATGCATCCTGGCCAGGAGATGAACCAACAAACTCTTGGTGAATGGGTCAACCCTCAACTACTGGCCACAGCTGGACCCTTTATAGTTTTATCTTTTACACTTCAACTGATAATCCAGTTCAAATTGTGATGTGAACTAGAAGTTACAGTTAATTTTTTCCCTATATGGATATCCAGTTATTATGGCATCATTTGTTTAAAAGACTCCTTTCTCCACTAAATTGTTTTGATGCCTTTGTCAAAATCAATTGACTCTGTAAGTGTGGATTATTTATGGACTCTCTATTCCGTTCTATTGATCTACTTGTAGGTCCTTAGGCCAGTATCACACTTTCTTGATTACTGTATCACTTAGTAAGTCTTTAAGTCTTTAAGTCAGTAGTATAAGTCTTCCAGTTTCAGTAAGATTTTTCAAGACTCTGGCTATTCTAGATCCTTAGACTTTTAGAATTAACTTGTTAGCTTCTATATTTTAAAAAGCCTGTGATCAGGAATGCTTTGAAGCTATAATATAATCAGTTTGGGAGAAAAATTAAAAACTCAGTATTTTGTCTTTTAATCCAAGAACATGGTATATCTACCAATTTATGTTGGTCTTTTTATTTATTTTATTTGATTTTTTAGAAAGAGAAAATATCAATTTGTTGTTCCACTCATTTGTGCATTCACCTACAACCTTGGTATACTGGGAGGATGCTCTAACCAACTGAACTATCCAGCCAGCACTTATGTTTGTCTTTTTAATTTCTCTTGGCAATATGTTGTTGTTTTCAGTGTAAAATCCTCACCGGATATTTTTTCCATTGATTTTTTTTTTTTTTTTTTTTTTAGAGAGAGTGGATGGGAGGAATAGTAGGGGAGAGGGAGAGAGAAGGAGAAAGAGATTGAGGGAGAGAGAGATTGCTGTGAGACACACACTGACTAGTTGCCTCCTATACACATCCTGATCGGGGCCAGGGATCAAATCTGCAACCCAGGTATGTGCCCTTGACTGGAAATCGAACCTGGGACCCTTTGATACATGGGCCGACACTCTAGTCTAACCCCTGAGCAACTCTGGCCAGGGCTAATTTGCTTTTTTAATTTGCCTCATAGAGGGGTTTTGAACTCGATTCCCTATGTGCCCGACAGGGGGTGAACATCCAACCTAGGCATGTGCCCTAATGGGGAATCGAACCAGTAATCTTTCGGTGTACTGGATAATGTGCCAACCAACTGAGCCAGCCAGCCAGGGCTTATTAGTTGATTCTTATATGTGCACTGACGGGATGGATCCCACAAGTGGGCATATGGAGATGATTCTCTAACCTGCACTATTCAGCCAGGGCTCAGTGCAAAGTTTTAACATTTTGGTTTGTTGTTCTTAAAATGGTTTGTTGTTGTTATTCTTAAGTATGTTTTTGACATTAACATAAATGGAATTTAAAAATATTTTACTATTTTCAATTATTCGTTGTTAATATATAGAAATAGAATTTTATTAAGTTTACCTTGTATCCTGATATGTTATTAAAACTGATTATTAGTTACCATAGTTTTTTTTTTTTTAAATATATTTTATTGATTTTTTACAGAGAGGAAGGGAGAGAGATAGAGAGTTAGAAACATCGTTAAGAGAGAAACATCGATCAGCTGCCTCCTGCACATCTCCTACTGGGGATATGCCCGCAACCCAGGTACATGCCCTTGACCGGAATCGAACCTGGGACCTTTCAGTCCGCAGGCCGACGCTGTATCCACTGAGCCAAACCGGTTTTGGCTAGTTACCATAGTTTTATGTAAACAAACATGTCATTTAAGAATAGGGACAGGTTTTACTTCTACCTTCATAATTTTTATGTCTTTCATTTATTTTTCTTGCCTTGCTGCACTGGTTAGGATCTGCAATAAAATGCTGAATGGAGGTTGTGAGCATGGGCATCCTTGTCTTGATCTGATATTAGGGAGAAAGCATTCAATTTTTACCATTAAGTATGGTATTAGCTGTAACTTTTTCATAGGCTGAGGAAGTCCCCATTTATTTCTAGTTTGCTGATACTTGTTGAATTCATGAAATCTTGTTGAATTCTAATGCTTTTTTTACATCACCATCAATGTTAACATCAATATAGTCTCATATACACTGTAACCAAAGAATATTACTAAGTATGTCCAAGAGAAGTACTGATCATTCCTCCCCAGCCTAACATGATATTATACATCAAAATGGTAATGTTATATTTGGGATTTGACATTACTTTGTTCCATTAGAAAACTGTATCGGAGATTTTTGTAAAATTACTCTTCTACACAATAAGAAAGCAAAGATATTAAAATTAATATTCTGCGCTAACCAGTTTGGCTTAGTGGATAGAGTGTCGGCCTGCGGACTGAAGGGTCCCAGGTTCGATTCCGGTCAAGGGCATGTATCTTGGTTGCGGGCACATCCCCGGTGGGTGGTGTGCAGGAGGCAGCTGATGGATGTTTCTCTCTCATCGGTGTTTCTAACTCTCTATCCCTCTCCCTTCCTCTCTGAAAAAAATCAATAAAATATATATTTAAAAAAAAATTAATATTCTTCCTGATCCACCTCTTGTTTTACTAGTGAAAAGAAATTTAACAAAATTTTAAAGTATATATATATATTTTTTATAATATATAAAATATAAAAAGAAAAAAAGCTCTACTTTCAGAGCAAACTTTAAAATATAAATATGTAAAGCTTTTATTGTCTTTTTATATTTTTATTGATCAGAGAGGAAGGAAGAGGGAGAGAGAGATAGAAACATCCACGATGAGAGAGAATCATTGATTGGCTGTCTCCTGCACACCCCACATTGGGGATCAAGCCTGCAAACCAGGTATGTGCCCTGACTGGGAATTGAACCGTGACCTCCTGGTTCATAGCTCGACGCTCAACCACTGAGCCACGTCAGCCGAGTGTAAAATATATTTTTAAGTCTTTCTTTAGTTCTTATGTTCAACTGCATTCCTAACAAATTTTATACTAACCCATAGTGACTCGTAATGTCTTGTCCATTATCACACATATTAAAATGGCCACTTCAAAGAAACATTTTAAATAAATTTTGGCTTTGTTATAAACACTTTTTAAAAAAAATATATTTTATTGATTTTTTACAGAGAGGAAGGGAGAGGGATAGAGAGTTAGAAACATCAATGAGAGAGAAACATCCATCAGCTGCCTCCTGCACACCCCCCACTGGGGATGTGCCCACAGCCAAGGTACATGCCCTTGACCGGAATCGAACCTGGGACCCTTGAGTCCTCAGGCCGCCGCTCTATCCACTGAGCCAAACCAGTTAGGGCTGTTATAAACACTTTTACTGAAGAAAATTTGAAAACAGGAAAGAGAAAAACCACTCAAATAGATTTCTTTCCAAGCTCATTTTTCATATGTAGTTTCTCCTTTCCTCATTTTTAGGTAATTGAAATCATACAGTATATATTTTATAACCTGTTTGTTTTGTTTTCACATTTATCCCAATGATTTTCTTTATAAGCATCCTAAATGTCAAAGCTAATTTTAATGTCTAGGTGTCATACTGCTAGTTAATTTACACTATATGCCACTTTGTACAAAAAAGTATAGGTTACATGTGTAGTATAGGTTACATGTGTGATTCTACTTTCATAACACTACTCAGCAGCTGTGCAATCTTAGGCAAGATACTTAATCTCTCTAAGCCTAAATTTCTTATCTGTAAAATGGAATTATTAAGAAACATATATTATAGATTTATTGTGAAAATTTAATTAATAGGGGTAGTGTTTAGTATAGCATCAGGGACATAGTGAGTACTCAAAAATGTTAACAATTATTATTTCATTAATACAATCCTCCTAGATTTTGATTGTCCCCCAGTAGCAGAGTTAAGAAGTGGTGAAAAATGGAAAAGAAAATCAATAAACCTCAATTATCAGTCTTGATTACTCAGAGGTAGATTATCTAGATTAAAGGTCATGTGTCACCTGCAGATCAGGTGTCACCTGTAACATGCATTTTATTTGGCCTGCACAATGTTTAAACAGAAAAAAACCAAAAACAACCAAAAAAACCACAACAACACCCTGTTGAAACATGAAACTGCCAATATTTTACATCTTTTATTTTTTAAATTTTTATAAGGTGTTTCTGCCAAACTGAAGACAACTGCCAGGAGGCAAGATGTCAAATGCAGTATTTAACAGCTTTTAAATCTACAATTGGAATTTCATATGCTTTAACTTAAAAAATGCTACCACTTTGAAACAGAGCATTTACACAGAATACTAGTTTCTGACTTGTTTTGAAAATCAGGAAAATATGGCAACAAGTCTATATGTCTACATGCTAGTTATCAGCTGGAGCTGAGTAGCAGCTGCTGTCCCCAGGAGATGGCACATCTTGTTTTCCATTTGCTACAGTCCATACCACCCATTGTGTCTTATAACCTGACAGCCTCACTCATTCCTATTACCCTGGATGGCCCCTGTGGCCATTAGAATTGGAAACCGCTCAATTCTGCAGACACACACTCTGGGGAAACACGATGCTTATTCAGTATTCAATGGATCTGTTTGTGGAATTTTTTTTTTTTTTACCTTACCCAAATTACAAATTTTGCTTGTTTTCTATGTAATGAATTGATAAACGGGTTGAGAGAAGAACTGTAAGCACACGCATCTTTTAGAGGTCAATTAAGGTATATTAACTCCCTGTCTACAGTTGTGAAATATATAAAAGTAGGGCCCTAACCAGTTTGGCTCAGTGGATAGAGCCTCGGCCTGCGGACTGAAGAGTCCCAGGTTCGATTCCAGAGAGTGCAGGAGGCAGCTAATCGATGTTTCTCTATCATCCATGTTTCTAACTCTATCCCTCTCCCTTACTCTCTGTAAAAAAAATCAATCAAATATATTTTTAAAAAAATAAAAGTAGGGATCAAATTAAAAAATACTTAACAGTTACCCCTCAGAGGTAAATTGTGATTCCAAGAGCTGGCTCTGGAGTCGAGGACTCCAACACATTTTATTTGTATCCGGGAAGCGCCGGGTAAGGCATTTGAACTCTGGGCTCAGCTCTCCCTCTGTGCAGCCAGGTGACACCGCATCTCTCCGGGGACCGGGCAGGAAGGCCGGGGTGGGGGCAAATTCAGCCCGCTCCCGCCCCTCGCCGTCCCCCCGGCGCTGTGAAGGGGGAAGGGCTGTGGGAAGAAGTGGCTTGCTGAGGCCTCTGTCTGGGCACAACGTGGACAGGATTCTCCAGGGGTGGTGGGTAGATCGAGAACACGCAAAACCGACCGGCGGAGCCCATGCCAATCATTAATGGCGGGTGTTGGCCCGGTATTCAGAACTTTAAAGAAAACCACAGAAACCTCATCACTGAGGCTACCCTCTGCGTACTGTGCAAAACGAGCAACAGAGGCAGTTTAACCTGCACACCTGTCCGGAGGCCGCCGCGGGCAGGAAAGCCGAGGCCGCGGTGCGCGCTCCGGGCCGTGCGTCCGCCCACCCCGGGCCTCCGCGGCCAGGAGGCGGCACGCGCGGCTGGATCCGGGCGCGGCCACAAAGCGCCGGAGGCGGGAGGCGGGAGGCCCCCGGGGCCGGGAGGGGGCGGCCCGCGCCCCGCGCTACCCCGGGAGGGATGGGCACCCGCCGGGCGGCGCCGCGCAGCGCAGGGTTCCCTCCGCCCCGGGCAGGGCGCCCTCGCGGGGAGCGCGGGGCAGACCCGGCGGGTCCCCGAGATGCGGCCGTGACCCCGCCTTTCCCCCGCGCCCCAACCTGCGGCCCCGCGCTCACCTGGTGGCGTCCGCGACGTTCCTGACGAACAGGGAGGTGTTGGGGGGCCTCGTGTAGCGAGACATGTCCGCGTCCTGCGTTCCCTCCGGGCCTGCCCGCGGCCACGTCTCGCAGCCGCCGCCGCAGCTCCGCCGGCCCCCGCGCGACCCCCTCCCCGCGGCCTCGGCCCCGCCGCGCGCAGCCGCAGAGGCGGGCGTGGGGGGAGGGGGTGCACGGCGCGAGCCGGTCCGAACGGACCGCGGGTGGGGCCGGCCTGGAGCCTGGAGCGGGGGAGCCCCGAGGGGCGGTGCTGCTGGCCCTGGACCGCGGGATGCGGAGTGGGGGGCACCGGGTCGGGAGTGCGAGGGGATCTAAGGCGGGGCGGGGCGGGAGTCGGGTCCGCGGGGATGCTGGAGGGGGCGGTGCTGGAGGCCGGGTCTGGGGGAGGGGAGGGGGCGGGGCGGGAGTCGGGGTCCGCGGGGATGCTGGAGGGGGCGGTGCGGGGTCCCAGGGTTCCGGGGCATCTGAGAACAGGGCGGCGTGGGAGGCCTGGAGGAGTGGGCCTGGTCAGACGGCTGCCCTGTGTCCGGGCCGATGGTTTCCGGGGAGGGGTCTGCGTGGGGCAGTGGGTGTCGGAAGGTGCAGGAGGGGGAGGCCAGGGTTTCTGGGTGCTGAGGCGGGTGGCGTGGGACTGGAGAGCATAGGGTGGGGAGGGGAAAGGTGAAGGAGCGGGACCCGCCACAGCCCCAGGGCACTGGGGCCTTCCGTCCCCTCCCCTCCCCCAGCCCCTCATTCTCAGCCCTGGACCCCCATTCTCCTGCCTCCTAGTCCCTTCAGTCTTGCGCCTTATTAGGCTTTCATCTGTGAGGTGTGTGGGTGTGTGTGTGTGTGTGTGTGTGTGTGTGTGTGTTTTGAATCTTCATCCAGGAGTTCCCCCGTATGTGGGGAGGATATTTCCAAGACCCCAGCGGATGCATGGAACCTGGGATAGCACCAAGCCCTATGTGTACTGTTTTTTCTTATATATTTATATCTTTGATAAAGTTTAATTTAAAAGTTAGGCGGGCACAGTAAGAGATGTACAACAATCTATATATATAAAAGGCTAGGTGACCGTTTGACTAACCGACCGGCAGGTACGTATGATGCGCACTGGCAATTTACAAATAAATGTTGACTCCCGGACGGGCAATACATATAAAGCTCTCACTGGTGCCAGTTGCACTATGTTTCGATCTGTCATTGTTGATCGTGAATTTGGTCGTTCTTGTTGACATTCTAAAGCTGAAAGAAAGCAGCATCTTCAACAATATGTCTGAAGACCAACTATTGGCACAACTGTCCCCATCTGACACTGGCCTGCCATTTAAATTAATTCAAAGACAGTTTCCCGTGATGCCAGCATTAGCGATGACTATGAATAAATCACAAGGACCAACTCTTGACAGAGTAAAAATATTCCTACCTGAGCCTGTTTTCGGACATGGTCAGTTATTTGTTGCTTTCTCTCAAGTCTGAAGAATGTGTGATGTTAAAGTTGTAAATACTTCATCACAAGGGAAATTAGTCAAGCACTCTGAAAGGGTTTTTACTGTTAATGTGATATACAGGGAGATATTAGAATAAGTTTAATCAATTTATCAGTCATGTTGTTATTGTTTATTAATCTATTATTTTCATATACACTTTACTAATTTTCTTTCATCTCTGACACTTCTATTATAAAGGGCGAATAGCTATATTAAAATATTTCTTCCAATTAATTTCCTTTCAATGTGCATGAATCCGTGCACCAGGCCACTAGTAGCTAATAATAAAATAGACTGTAATAAAAGTTTTGTGAATTTGCTCTCATTACTGTACTGTACTCACCCTTCTTATGAAGACAATAAAATGCCTACTTAGTGAAATGAGGTGAATGAGGTAGCATACAGCTGCTGTTGACCTTCTAACCATATATCATGTCAGAAGGAGGATCGTCTGGTGCTGGTTGTTCTAGACCAGGGGTGGGCAAACTTTTTGACTCGAGGGCCACAATGGGTTCTTAAACTGGACCGGAGGGCCGGAACAAAAGCATGGATGGAGTGTTTGTGTGAACTAATATAAATTCAAAGTAAACATCATTACATAAAAGGGTACGGTCTTTTTTTTTTTTTTTAATATATTTTATTGATTTTTTACAGAGAAGAAGGGAGAGAGAGATAGAGAGTTAGAAACATGGATGAGAGAGAAACATCGATCAGCTGCCTCCTGCACATCTCCTACTGGGGATGTGCCCACAACCCAGGTACATGCCCTTGACCGGAATCCAACCTGGGACCTTTCAGTCCACAAGCCGACGCTCTATCCACTAAGCCAAACCGGTTTCGGCTTTTTTTTTAGTTTTATTCATTTAAAATGGGCCGTAGTTTGCCCACGGCTGTCCTAGAGCTATGAGGATGTCATGATTGGCTGTTAGGAACAGATGATATGGATGGTTGGGAATTTTTAAATTCTCAGCCTAGGATATATATATATTTTTTAAATATATTTTATTGATTTTTTTACAGAGAGAAAGGGAGAGGTATAGAGAGCTAGAAACATCAATGAGAGAGAAACATCGATGCAGTGTGCCTCCTGCACACCCCCCACTGGGGATGTGCCCGCAACCAAGGTACATGCCCTTGACCGGAATCGAACCCGGGACCCTTCAGTCCCCAGGCTGACGCTCTATCCACTGAGCCAAACCGGTTAGGGCCCTAGGATATATTTTTATTTTTTTCCCAGTGATATTTTTAGAGAGAGTGAAAAGGAGAGGATGGGGGAGGGGAGAGAGAGAGAAACATCGATGTGCATTGATTGGTCGGCTTGGAAAATCAAGCCCGTGACCCTTCAGTTCACAGCCGATTCTCTAACCATTGAGCATCCAGACTTGTCATTTAGAATCTAAGCACTTAGGTCTTTCCCTCTCATTCTCCATTTTCCATTTTCAGCCGGCTGCATCTTCTACTCTTTTTGTCACTCTGGAGCCTCTATTCCAAATGGCAGACAAAAGAAACACAACCCTCTCAATTTAATCAGTAGATTTTTGGGGAAAAGAGTTTGAAAATAGAAAATTACTGTTTCTGGGTTATTACTAACGTATTTAAAAATATTTTTATTAATGTTTAGAGGCTGGTTTATAAGACCAAGCAACACATATTTGTTATTCTAAAGCAATACTATAGTGTAAGTGGCTGCATAGCATAACTAACTTTTCTTCCATTTCTTAAATGTATATAAGTAGGCTAATTATCAAGTCTAATTAAGGTGTCAAATCATGAAAGACCAGTATGTTTTAAATTCATTAACTAGTTTTGTTTTTTACTGTCATAGTGGAGAACTAGAACTGATCAAAAATTCAATTGTATTTGGGTATGCATGAGTGTCTTGAAATTTGTGTGATGAAAAGTATTTTGAAGGTAAAAATTTGAGATTAATAGATTTTCCCCCATATTTAAGTCATTTTTATATATCCTGATAGTGAATATCATCTTATGCTATGAATTCACTCTCCAACAGATGGCGCTAGCTCTCCTCAAGTAAGAGCTGCTCTGGTCTACTCTTTTTTTAAAGGTACATGACCTTGAAGATGACAGGTGATGTGGTTGTATAGAATGTATTGTAAGCATCCTTCTATTGCCCCTACACTTTGGTTTATTAGACATCATTCCACACAACCCATTGGAGAATCTATGGGGTACCTTCTTATGAATTTCATTTCTTTCACTGTAGCTATAGCAAATAATGTTAAAGTTCATTTATATGGTAATAATGGATACTATTTAGCTTTTTCATTAAAGTTAGTTTAGAGAAGGCCTGTCACTAAAAATGACATTGGAAAAAAGAAGAAAAAAGAAATAAATTAAAAATGACTTTGGGTCTTGAGAATTTGGAGGTGGGTGTTTCTTCCTAACTTAATTTGACAACAGTTTAGTGATGATGTACTATTGTTAAACGTAGCACTAGGAACTGGGAATGAAAAAAAGCTATGGATGCCTCCTAATTCTGAAGGACCTATCCCAATATTCCCATATGTAAGTCATTTTTATATATGCTATGAGATTTTTGCCATGATATGCTTATTATTTTAAATAAGCTCACTTTTACATTAAAAGAGCTTTTTAAAACCAAATATCATGTGGAAAAAAGAACATATAAGTTCTGGCCAATTACTTTGATCTGTAAAGTTTCAAATCCTGAGACCTGCTCTTTCTTTTAGAGGGGAAATTACTGGGGTGGTAAACACACAATGCAATATACAGGTGATGTATGGTAGAATTGTATACATGAAATCAGTATAGTATAATTTTTTTTAACCAATGTCATCCCAATGAATTCAATTTAAAAAAGTGAAATCAATCACACAACAGGAAGCAACTAAAGCTATCCTAGGACCAAACTAAAACTTTCTCCCTAATGTAAAAGGGGAGTAACTTTTATACTATGTAATTCAATATTTAATGCTTCATCAGTGTAACATATAAAACCATGGATAGTACCAACATCAATGGTAAGTGCCCTGTACTTTTGGGAGACATTCTAGCTTGAAAGAGACATGCATGTTAACAAATCATTATTATACAGTTTCATTAGTGCTACATAAAGATATTTCAGAGTACTGCATAGGGTATGATGGAAACAGATTAGTTTTCTATGCGAAAGGGAGACTGAAAGTCATTTTAGAGAAAATTGATATCTGAGCTATTTATTGAAAGATGGCTATAAATACCAAGAAATAGAAAAAACATGGCATTTGAGGGAAAGTGAACTAGATGAGCAAAGGCACAGAGTAGTGGAAGTAGTATGGTGTGCTGAACTATAGGGGAAGGAAGAATGAATGCTCACAGGGTTGGGATGGAGGTTCGGAGCTAAGTTTTGAGAGGCTATATGTATACCGTGCCAAGGAGCTTTGGCTTAATTCTTTTGGTAATGGGACTCCATCAAAAGTGTTTAAGCAGGGGATTAGGAAGATCAGATCTGTGTTTTATAAGGATGATTTTGACAGAAATGCCAAAAATGAATAGGAGGAAGTATGGTTCAAGTAGAGGCTGGTACAAGCAGATCAGTTCAAAGGTTCTTGCATGTGATATATTTTTCTCTTTAAAAAAATGTTTCTTAAGTCAGACAGAGTAAGACAACTACTGTATAATCACACTGATATCTGGAATCTAGGGAATAAAAAGCCCTGGCCGGTGTGGCTCAGTTTGTTGGAGTGTCATCCATGCACTGGAAGGTCTCAGATTCAATTCCCACTCAGGGCACATACATAGGTCCAATCCCTGGTTGGAGCCAGTAAGGAAGGCAACAAATAAGATCCATGTATCTCTCTCACACCGATGTCTCTCTCTCTCTCTTTCTCTTTCTTCCTCCCTCTCTAAAATCAATAAGAAATAAAAAAACAAATTTTAAAAATTGAAGCTCATAGATGCAGAGAACTGGTGGTTGCCAGAGGCGAGGTTGGGGTGTGGTGAGAAGGGGAGGGGTGAGCAAAATGGGTGAAGCTGATCAGAAGATACAAACTTCCAATTATAAGAAAATTAATCCTGGGATATAATGTACAGTATGGTGACTACAGTTAACAATACCGTAATGTGTGATGACCCACGTCCTGCATGATTCAGGGTTCAGGATCTGGAGAAGGGCCACGCGCAAATGACAGAGACGAGACAAGAAATAATAATTTGGAAATATTGGGGGCAGGCGGGAAGCCCAACGCAAAGGGAAGGACTTCTCCTTGTGCCCAGGCCTTGCCAATCTTTTATTCAATTTTGGATACACATCTAGCCCTTAGTCAGACAGGCAATTGCGGTAACAGACTATCTTAACACATTGCATACCGCTCACGAGTTTTCTCGTGTTTCGCGCCCCATCTGTTATGGACCTTAGATGTCAACACTGTCTTGTCCACTGTGGGGCGCGGCTACAGTGTTTTGGCCAGGTTCAAGCCTCGGACTAATGAAAGGACAGGGTCCTCTCACTGCCACGTGCAAGTCCCAGCTGGAGGGCAGGGCCCTCCCAGCACATTCATAGCCAACGGCTGTGGTTGTAAGCTTGAACCTATGATCTGAACATGTGGCCCCACGTGCCTTGTGATAGAGTTTAGGTGCATGTCGTTGAGTAGGGTTGAGACTCACGAGAATGCTGTAAACAACATGATCACGCCCCTACTTTGCCTCGTGGCATCTGCTAGAAAGACACGGCTTGTGGGCGCTGGCGCTGTCTCCTCATCAGGGAGCAGCGTCCCACCGAGACCCAGCTATTATTCTCTTGTCTGTCTTTCCTTAATCCTTTCACCCTCCCACTCAGAGACATCCTTGGCCGTGCTGGCGCGGCACAGTCCACATCAAATGAAGCGATCTCATTGGTGGAAACCGTGCAGGTCAATCTACGAAAAACTATATAATTGCACGAACCCATAAAGCATTGCAGTTACATTATATTTTGGTCATTCGAATAGTCCTCGTCTTCAAGTTCCTTTCGCTTTTAGAAATGCCCTCTCTCAGAAAAAGGAAGGAAAACAACGAAACTGATACACTTCCGGAAGTATTTAACGATAATTTATCAGATATTCCTAGTGAGATCGAAGATGCAGATGACTGTTTTGATGATTCCGGAGACGATTTTACTGATTCTACTGACAGTGAAATTATTAGACCTGTAAGGAAGCACAAGGTAGCGGTGCTTTCAAGTGATTCCGACACTGACGGAAGCTACTGATAATTGTTGGTCTGAAATTGACACACCACCAGGCTTACAAATGTTTGAAGGTCATGCTGGGGTCTACATTTCCGTCTCAGTGTGACTCTGTATACCCTCTGTGACCAATCTCTTTTTTGGTGATGAATTGTTTGAGATGTTGTGCAAAGAGCTGTCCAACTATCACCATCAAACCGCAATGAAACGCAAAACACCATCTAGAGCACTAAAGTGGTCTCCGGTTACACAGAAGGACATCAAGAAATTCCTTGGCCTAATTATTCTGATGGGTCAAACAAGAAATGATAGCTTGAAAGACTATTGGCCAACAGATCCTTTGATATGTATGTACCCCAATATTTCCACAGACAATGAGTCGCCATAGATTTGAGCAAATATGGACCTTCTGGCATTTCAATGATAACGCCAAAATGGACAGTCACTCGGGGAGACTTTTCTTTTCTTTTCTTTTTTTAAAAATATATTTTATTGATTTTTTTTACAGAGAGGAAGGGAGAGGGATAGAGAGTTAGAAACATCGATGAGTAAGAAACATCGATCAGCTGCCTCTTGCACACTCCCCACCGCAACCAAGGTACATGCCCTTGACCGGAATTGAACCTGGGACCCTTCAGTCTGCAGGCCGATGCTCTATCCACTGAGCCAAACCGGTCAGGGCATCGGGGAGACCTTTCAAGATCCAACCTGTGCTGGATTATTTTCTGCATAAATTTCAAACAATATACAAACCAAAGCAACAGTTGTCTCTGGACACGGGAATGATTCCATGGAGAGGACGTTTAAAATTTCGCACGTACAACCCAGCGAAAATAACAAAATACAGTTTACTTGTTCGGATGGTGTGCGAGAGTGACACCGGCTATTCTGCAATATGGAGATATACACTGCTGAAGGAAGGAAATTGCAAGAAACTGTTCTTTCAGTCCTTGGACCCTATCTTGGCATATGGCACCTTATTTATCAGGATAATTATTACAATGCTACATCTACTGCTGAATTGCTACTACAGAACAAAACTAGAGTCTGTGGGACTATTAGGGAGAGTAGAGATTTACCGCCAAATTTGAAAATGAAAACATCAAGAATGAAGAAAGGTGACATAATATTTTCCAGAAAAGGCGATATTCTTCTCCTAGCATGGAAAGACAAGCGGGTTGTCCGAATGATATCAACGATCCATGACACTTCTATCTTGACAACAGGAAAAAAAAAATAGAAAAACGGGAGAGAATATTGTAAAACCTACCTACATCAAGGAATACAATGCCCATATGAAAGGCGTTGACCGTGTGGATCAATTCCTTTCGAGTTGTTCCATTCTAAGGAAAACGATGAAATGAACAAAAAAAGTAGTGCTGTACCTTATAAACTGTGGACTTTTCAATTCATTTAGCGTGTACAACGTCCTCAATCCACAAGTAAAAATGAAGTATAAACAGTTTCAGCTATCGGTGGAGAGAGACTGGATAATGGATGACAATAATGAAGGCTCTCCGGAACCAGAGACAAATCTGTCCAGCCCTTCCTCTGGGGGTGCAAGGAGAGCACCTCGTAAAGATCCACCCAAAAGGTTGTCAGGTGATATGAAGCAGCATGAACCTACGTGTATTCCAGCGGGTGGAAAGAAAAAATTTCCTACGAGACCCTGCAGAGTTTGTGCCGCCCATGGAAAAAGGAGCGAATCTAGATACTTATGTAAATTTTGTTTGGTCCCTCTTCATAGAGGAAAATGTTTTACGCAGTACCATACGCTAAAAAAGTACTAGGAACTTTAATTGTTTAATTGTTTTTGTAAATAAAAATGTTATAATTATTGAAAAACAACACCTAAAGTGCATTATGATCTGTAGTTATGATGATTTAAATAACGTGCAGTTTGCCCAAAAATGTCCGGTCCCTGGCGTATGTCTTAGAGATTTCTATGCGGTACGCAATGTGTTAAAGGTCAGTAAATATTAGAAATATTTACTCTGAGACTATTTGGTCAGGAAATAGCTTGAGCCCCATTGTCTGGACTAAACAATCGGTGCATAGCTCTGGCCATTGCCAGGGCTCAAGGTTCACCAGCGTTCCGGGCTCCTTGTTTACACTTCTCTGATAGTGAAGACTATGGGTGGCTTCCTACAGTAATGTGTAATTTAAAGGTGCCATGAGAGTAGACCTTAAAAGTCCTCATCACAAGAAAATGAAAATGTGTAACTATGTGTGGTGATGAATTTTAACTATACTTACTGTGGTAATCATTTTGTAATATATACATATATCAAATTATTATTTTATACACTGAGTCCTCACTTATATCCTTAGGTTCTGCAACTTTAAGTGAAACAACACATAACAAAACCAGTTTCATCATAGGCTAATGGATACGAAGAGGAGTTAAGTTTCTATAGCATCTCATTAACATTATAACAAGATGAAGTTGATTGAAACAAGGAAACGATGTTATTCCAGGACCTGCTCTATACTTAAAATTAATACAATGTTATATGTCAATTATATCTCAATTTTCAAAAAAAAAGGAAGCATATTTCTTACCTTTGTCTACTGAAACGGCTTAGAAGCAATGACCAGTCCAGTAGCATTTGGCACCCTTAGGGCCTAGGCCAGGGGTGGGCAACCTTTTTGTGAGTGCGTGCCAAAACCAGCAAATCTCTGACTCAAAATTCTTCTGCATGCCAACCCTAATTTTTTTAGAATATGTTATGCCTGCTTGATATCTCTTAAGGTGTACATATGTGAAGAACCTTGAAGAAATAATAAAATTCATTCGAGCAACAAAAACACAGTATATGATGATGAAAAATACATTTATTTTTTAATGTATACATATACACTATAGCCCGACAGAAAACTTTATGACTCCGTTTGATATTATCAGTGGACTTTTGCTGCTGCATCACTGATGACAGAGATTTTACATCAGGTTTATATTTCGTGACCTTCAGAGATATGCACGAGCTACTACTTTCATCTGTCAGGCTACTCCTATTACGAGACTTAACAAAGTTCATCACTGAGAACAAAGATTCACAAGCATATGTGGATGAAACCAAAACACTGGTCGGATCTAGGAAGGCAGGGAGAGTTAAGGCAGAGGCATAGAAATTGCTCTTCCCCTCTCTCGTCAATCCATGTCTATGGTCTTTAAGATAACTTGTTATGTAAAATTATTTATTTATCTAAGATGCACCTACACTGAATTGATCTGAAAAATAAAAAAGTCGATATTAAGAAAAAAATTGTAAATGGAAGATTATAAGAGAGGGTTTTGCGTGCCAGCAAAAGTTACTGGCGTGCCATGTTTGGCACGCCTGCCAGGGGTTGCCCACCCCTGGCCTAGGCTATGGTCTCTAAATATCATTTTTTCCTAAAAGAAATCATGACTTTGGAAGAGTAAGAAATATCTTGTCATATCAGAAAGAAAGAAGCTATCAAAGGCTTCTGGAGTCATGTTAAAGGATCCAAAAGACAATACTGACTAAAGAGAAGACAATTGAGTCAATAAGAATAATAAGTGCAATGAAGTAAAATATAAAATACTTTTAATTGTACAAATTCATAATTATACTAAGAAATAAACCTTTTGATCCTAACTTTTCTGTACAAACTTACACCTCAAGGTAACCCAAATGGTTGATGAGGGAAATTTTATTTCTAAAAGTATTTCAGTCAATAAAACAAAGAAGGAATGACCGAATTAGAATATTACAATTTTGTAACCTTGAATGAAATCATGGATCTAGGCAATGACCATAAATGGCTGCTAAATTATACAGAGAAACAAGCGGACCTTATGTGCCCTCCTGAAGGAAGTTCACATCAGTATACTCTTGCAAAACACTGAGTCTGGTTTAGCCTCTAGCTCTGTACTATCTAGTAGAACTTCCTGTGACAATGGAAATAGTCTATGTCTGCACTGTCCAGTACTGTAGCCACTAACTACATGTGATTATTTACATTTAAAGTAAAATTTTATGACTTAGTCACACTAGCCACATTTCAACTCCTCAGCAACCACATGTAGCTAGTAGCAGCACTATCAGCTTTCAGGAAATAAAGAGGACCTTTCATTCTCACTTTATTTACTATATCCATAGCCTCCAAAATATCCTCTTGTCCTCTTTATTATTATTATTTTTGTGATAAGAACACCCAAAATAAGATCTACTCTCTTAGCAATCTTTTAATATTGTCTAATATAGGCCCTATGCTGTATAGTAGATCTCTAGGACTTATCTTGCAAAACTGAAACTTTATAACCAATGACCACTTCTCTCCAGCCATGGAACCAACAAACACTGCCCCATTTTTAATATAACTACCTGTCAAAGGCTCATTTTTGTCATATTAACGAACAGTCGACCCATGAACCAGGAGGTCGTGGTTCGATTCCCAATCAGGGCACATGCCCCGTGTGGGCTCAATCCCCAGTAGGGGGTGTGCAGGAGGCAGCCAATCAATGATTCTCTCTCATCATTGATGTTTCTCTCTCTCTCTCCCTTCCTCTCTGAAATCAAAAAAATTATAATAATAATTTTTAAAAGTACATATTTTTAAATGTTAACTGGTAAGAAACACTTAAGTTGGCTTTCCTATCTTTTCTGATCAGCTGGAAGTTTCCTCTTGTCTGCTCTTTCCTTATTTGTTTTGGTCTCACACACTGTAGCAAAAGGGGAAAGGCATTTTATGCACAAGACCTTCTGAATGTTGTAACAGTATTTTCCTCATCAGTTTTATTGGAAATTTCTAGTTTGCTTCCTGTTTCATCTTCCATCATGCCTCCAATGACTAGATGTTTATTAATTTTAGACCACACATTTTTAAAATTAATGACTTAATCACTACATCTCTTACAAAGCATCTTAAGTATTTTAAGCACCCTCTGGCCATCTATGCCATCCATTCCTGCTAGCAACCTTAAAAGATGTAGCACCAACATGACCAAAGAAGTTTGAGAAGTGAATCCATACTAAGGTGATTATTAACCACGGTCAAGGTGTACCCATTGACAGAGGCATCTCTTAAAAGACCCTCAAACACATGACTGGTTCCAATATCTAAATGTATCAATAACGGCAGGGGAGCAATGAAAGCTCTCTTCGTTTTCCTGAAGCATAACCTCAGGAGAGAAATATTCTCATCTAGCACAAGCAAGGCTACGTCTTCACAGTGTTGTCATATACAAGCCCCGGGGAATCAGGGCAAAGACAAAGCCTGCCCCCTGCAAGAACCTCACTGTCCTCATTTCCAGGGGTGGCTAAGGTCAGCAGAGCAGCTCATGTCACTGCCAAGAGGGAGGGAACCCAAAGGGAGCCTCAAGTAACTGAGTACCAGGGCATTCCAGGCTTTAAAATAGCTGCCTTCGCCTCGTGGGCCATGCGAAGATATCTACGCAGAGCGTAGTAATAAAACCTTACACCAAGAAACACATCTCTGTCAGACATTTTTGCTCCGTCGCTTTGTTATTGTTTTTTAATTTACAATATTATCTTAGTTTCAAGTGTAGAATATAGTGATTAGACATCTATGTAACTTATGAAGTGATCACCCTGATAAGTCTAGTACCCATCTAACACCATACAGAATTATTACAGTATTATTGACTATATTCCCTATGCTGTATTCTTCAACCCTGTGACTACTTTTATAACTGGCAATTTGTGCTTGCTAATCCCTTTCACCGTTTTTACCCATACCCTCAAATCCCCTTGTGATCTGGCAACCACCAATTTGTTCTCTGTATCTATGAGCTTGTTTCTGTTTTGTTCATTTATTTTGAAATCATATGGTATTTGTCTTTCTCTGTCTGACTTATTTATAATAGCCAAGATATGGAAGCAGTCTAAGAGTCCAGTAATAGATGAATGAAGAAAGAAGATGTGGCACATATATACATACAAAAAGAATTAAATCAATCCCTTTGTTTTTATTTTCCAGAGTTTCTTCCTCAGCTTAAATTTTTCCTCCCTAGTCATTCACTCCCTGGGTGGTTTAATTCTCCCCTTGGTATAATCATCATGCATAGTAGATAATGTGGAAACAATTTCTTTTTTTTTTTTTACATAAATTTTTATTGGTTTCAGAGAGGAAGGGAGATGGAAAGAGAGATAGAAACATCAATGATGAGAGAGAATCATTGATTGGCTGCCTCCTGCACACCCACACTGGGGATCGAGCCCACAACCTGGGTATGTGCCCTGACCGGGAATCAAACCATGAATTCCTGGTTCATAGGACCACGCTCAGCCACTGAGCCACACTGGCATGGCAAAAACACAGTTTCTTTATCTCCTCCACTTTCCTTATCACTACTTCTAGTCTCTTAGATGGCGGTGTCACCTCCTCTCTACATGACTATCACACATCCATCAATTCGCCCCTAACTGTCCCATTGCCCACATTTTGTTTGATGACTTTACCATCCACCCAGCTGTTCACACTAAAAACCTCAGTCATCTTTCCTCCTTTTCTCCATCACGTGCCCCCCTACCTTCCCAGCAAACACATTCAATCAGGCATCAAGTCTGGTCACTTCTGCCTTCGGAATGTTTCTGGAATCCTAAGACTTTGCAGGAAACTTTTAGCTTGTCTCAGACCAAAATCTCTCTGTTTCTGATTCATCCTCCATGAGGTCATTAATTATTCTTCCAGAAGAAAAACCTGGTTTTACCTCTCCCAGGCTTAATAATATCCAATAAGTAGCCATTGTCTAGATAAAATTTAATTCTTTAACAATGTGTAAACAATTCCTCTATGTCCCTTCACCCCTGATCAAAATTCACTTTTCAGCTAACCTACTCTCTTAGTTGGCTGCTTTCTGAAAAATGACAGCCAGTTGGTTTTTTTTAACACCTTACCCCAGAAGAGATTTCTTAGTGTGCTACCTAGTACCTGATATCAGTTAAAGAGACATATCTCTGGAGTTACCTGTAAGTATTTTGGGTGCTGAAGGCTAGGGGGATGTTGTGAACAACCAAGATCCTAAGGTGACACTGTATTTGCTTGCTCTGTGTGCCGGCAGTGGCAGCCCCCAAGTCATGCAGTGCCAGGGTATGGTTCTGGAGGAAGTTGTTCAGGTTAAATATCTGCATTATCTCCGTGGATGAAATCATTTTAAAACTTGATTCCTTCCCCACCCCAGCACCTTCTGTTTACCTTTGCTCTTCCTTAATTTTCATTTTATGTTTCACTTCTCTCAAAATATTTTAAAAAATTTTTTTATTGATTTCAGAGAGGGAGAGAGAGAGCTAGAAATATCAATGATGAGAATCACTGTTTGGCTGCCTCCTGCATGCTCCACTCTGAGGATCGAGCTCAAAACTGTGACCTCCTGGTTCCCAGGTCGAAGCTCAACCACTGAACCACGCCAGCCAGGCTCAAAGTATTTTCTTCTTCTCATTTAGGTCATGCTTTGCAAGTTTGTGTTGGGGATTTTATTACCTTATTTTATCCTAATTAAAAAACAAACAAACCATATTAGTCTGTTGTCTTGCCAAAGAATCTGAAGTCCAAAATAATATCCAGTATCATCTCATATATTTGGCTAGTATTTCAGTCAGAAATAATGTTGCTTCTCCAGAGTAAAGAAATCTTTGATTTACTCTTCCCACCAAAGCACTGAATGAGCACGGACAGCAGACCAAGGTTGACTCCAGGCCCCAGGGGCAAGGTTGATGCCCAGGTGGGGGGAGGAGGGCTGCACACAACTCCTGGCCAGGTTAGAAGGTGCTTTCTTTAATTAGTACAAAACAGTTAAGGTTAGCAGAGCATGATTAATATTTCTTATAACTACAGCTAGTCCCCAGTATTCTATTTCTGCCCCTAACACTATTAATAGAAATGGCATCAAGGACAATTTTCAGACTTTGTGCTTCACTCTGGAGAAAAACAAGAGTATGGCTTCTTGAATTTCTTCATCGGGTAACGTAGAACCAGAACCCAGTTGTGTGAAGATCAGCTGCACATATCATGTTACTTGATTTAAGCATCAAAGTTATAAACGAAACCAGTCATATGTTCTTTCAAAGCTATTGCTGATCAAAACAAACATTCAAATCAACAAAATAATATGAATAATTATGACCATAAATCTTCTACTAACTCTCTGATTTGGGCTTTTAAAAAACTCATTTAAAATTCTTAGTTTTTTCTTTACTCAAATAGACTACACTAGCTAATACGTATGTGCCGTCTACATTCCAGATGCTATACTAGACACTTGCTCTACTCCTTAGTTTTTATTCTAATGAGAAAACTATACTTCATAGACAGTAGTTGCAGCTTTTAAATAACACAGCAACCTCAAGGGGAAGAAAGTGGAGGGTGGGAGGCAATACCGAAAACTCAAGTATACAGAATCTACAGACCAGTGTTCTTTGTATGGTTTTATGAACTAAAAACTTGGTATAAATGTTTATTTTAGCTACTGTTCTAGAAAGGCGGGTGGCGTTTTTCAGGGGGCTACGTTCCACTTGGTCTGTCTCCGATGCCTGTTAACCAATAAAACCGGTCTCATTCCGCTGCTGTGGGAAATACGCAACAACGGACAAGTAATAACTTTGGCGGTAATTCGGTATCTGGACTGCTAAGGAGAGGGGAGCTGAGCTCCTGAACCCCTGTTCTTCCCAGCGCTCCCTGCCCCCGCCCCGGGGCGGAGCACCTGCGAGCTGCAGAAGGGCGGACCACGTTCCCCGCCAGGCGCCGGAGGCGGGGTCCGGGGGAAGGGGGACCGGCCTGCGGCAAGATGCGGAGCCGGCCTGCGCACGCCGCACCCGTTCTCGCGGCTCGGAGCGTGCGCAGGCGCGGGGTGCGCTAGGAGCGGGAGATCGAGGTAGCGTTGGAGCGGAGTGCCGACCGGTCACCCGCTCCGGGCACGATGAGCCCTGGAGAGGAGCGACCTGTGGAGGGGGGCGCCGGCGGCGGCGGCGCCTCCGAGTTGGAGCTGCTGAAGCTGCGCGCCGCGGAGCGCATCGACGAGGCGGCGGAGCGCCTGGGGGCCCTGAGCCGCGCCATCTGGAGCGCGCCCGAGCTGGCCTACGAGGAGCACCGAGCCCACGGCGTGCTGACGCGCTTCTTCCAGAGCGAGCCGCCGGCCGCCTCTTGGACGGTGCGGCCGCACTACCATCTGGCCACGGCCTTCCGCGCCGAGTGGGAGCCGCCGGGGGTGCGGTCGGCCGCGAGCCCGCTGCACCTGGGCTTTCTGTGCGAGTATGACGCGCTCCCCGGCATCGGGCACGCCTGCGGCCACAACCTCATCGCCGAGGTCGGGGCGGCGGCCGCGCTGGGCGTGAAGGGGGCCCTGGAGACCCTCCCCGCGCCGCCTCCGCCGGTGAAGGTGAGGTGGGACCCGGCGCGGGACTCCGCCACCTGCCCCGCCGGTACCGAGGCGGGAACCGCAGGACGGGCATTCCATGCGCACCTGTCCTCCCACCCCGGGCAGGGGTAGGAACGCCACTAGTCGTCCCAGCCTCGCCTTCGTACGCAGGCAGAGACCCTGGGTAAAGCTCAATGAGTGGCCGACCTACCTACGCTTTGCAGAGTACAGTATTATTGGGTTTTGTTGCCTCTTATGTACTTGGAAAGGATTGAGTGGACTCTCCCTTACGAAAGAACTTAGAACCAAGCCTGGTTTTCGTCAAGGCTTATTTTTGGTAACTGTAGCCGCTGCAATTCGCTGACAAGGTTGTGCAGTCTCTTGGAAGTGGTTATTGTAGGGAAACCTACAGCCTCCCTTCATTAGGCTCCCCCCAAAGCTTTTGTTTGTGGTAGTCATAGGAGTTGTAATTTGAATCATTGGGGGGTTTTTGTGTGTTTTTTAAACATTTTTTATTGATTTCAGAGAGGAGGAGAAAGAGGGAGAGAGAGAAACATCAATGATGAGAGAGAATCACTGATTGGCTGCCTCCTGCACGCCCCACATTGGGGACGAGTGGGCAACGCAGGCAACCCGGGCATGTGCCCTGAGCTGGAATCAACTGTGACCTCCTGGTTCATAGGTTCACGCTGAACCACTGAGCCACACCTGCTGGGCCCGCAGGGCTTGACTCATTAGTTTTTGGGTAGGATATTATCAGTCGTTACAACTACCAAACCTCTAGAAATATACACACACACAACATAGATGTAGTTGATCTTTGCATTTTAATAAATACCTCAGTACTGTTAATTGGGAAATGTCGTAGGGCAAGTTTAATCTTGTGTTACTCTGTTTTTCCAGATGGTATATTCGTTCTGTGAGCTAAGATGCAATCATGGCCATTCAGGTTAAGGGGAAGACTAATGTTTTATTTTATTCTTTAGCCCCCTTTTTCCCCAATGTCAGTGACCTTTCACTTTTATCCTAACAGTTCCATCTTTTGCTGCTTTTTCTATTTAGTAGCTGCCTTTGTTTTTCTGCTCTGGGGGCTTGTTTTGGCATCTGGTTAGGCTTTTGTTTTGTTTGGAGTGGGGTATCCTTTGCCATTACATGAAATACTGGAGAGGTTTAGCTTTAACTGGGTTTGTGATAAGTTCATAGAAGTCAACTAATTTGAAGTCATCACATTTAACTTGTCAAGGGTTAAGAGTTTAAAGCAGCTTAATTTAAGAGTTTGGGTGCCTTATAACTTCTAAAGAAAGCCAGACGTTGGGAGATGTACACAGTTCTGATTTTGAATGGTTAACTGGGTTTTTAGCCAGGTTATCTGTCCTACCTGAAAATGAAATTTATTTTCATTCGATTCCCTTTGCAAGCCAAGACTTTTTCCAACTTGTTCTTTGTATCCTTATACGTGATCTTGAAAGTATATTGGCTGCTTATAGATAATTTTTCTTTGCTTTAAGAATTGTTTGAAGAAGTTAAACTGAGATATCAAAATAAAATGTTTATTCTGCAAAGGTCTCTTTTGTTTAATTAGGTGTTTGGTGACCAATAAATCTGCCTGGTTGAACTGGTAGAATAGAATTAGTAAGTTTGTGTAGTAGTTGGCCATTCCTAACCATGGTCTTAAGATTTATTTAATGTTCTTCATGTATGATTAAGGAATTAAGATCTTTTAATGAGGTAGCTCGGTAAGGATCAGGCCTGAACATCGCATCCCAGCTCTCCCTGAAGACTTGCTCTGTGATGTGGGGCAAGACACTTCACCCTATACCTCCAAACCCCCTTCTCTAAAATGATGTTACAGATCACTCACCCACCACTCAGGGTTGTTGTGAGGAGAACCCATAAGTAACTGGAAAAAGTGCTTATGAATCATTATGTCCATAGACTAAAAGACGTATAGATTGTGAATACATATGCAAGAGGGCTTGTTTGATACTTTCCTACGAGGATTTTTTGTTACTGTGTTCTGACACAGGCATTTCCTTCTAGGTGACTGTTCTGGGCACCCCTGCCGAGGAAGAAGGTGGTGGCAAAATTGACTTAATTGAAGCAGGGGCTTTTAAAAACCTTGATGTTGTTTTTATGGCCCATCCATCCCAAGAGAATGCTGCTTATCTCCCTGATGTGGCTGAACATGAGTAAGTAATCAAGTTGAAATAAACTCCTTAGTGGAAAACAGACTATTAGAATACTTTTACATCTTTTTTTTTTTTTTTTTCAATAGAATAGAAATGTATTGTCTTAAAGTTCTGGAGACGTGAATTCTGAAATCAGGTGACAGGGCCAGGTCCTTCTAAATCCTGTAGAGGGGAAGACCCTTCCTGCCTCTTCCAGCTCTGGTAGCCCCAGACATTCCCTGGCTTGTGGCAGCCTAATTCTCATCTCCGCTTCTGTCTTCACATGGCCTCCTCTCTCTGTCCCTTCACATCGTCTTCCCTCTATGTCTTTAGAATACTTTTATGTCTTAACGGGAGACTAAAACTCCATATTTATACCTTTTAAAAGTAAATTGAAAGATAATGCTGTGATGTCTTACTTGATTTTAATTGACTCATACTTGGTAAGTCTCTTCTAATTGAGATTTAATTTGATGTTCATAATTGGACTATTAAAATAACGCCAAAAAAGCATAAGAATAGCTAACAATATGTTGACACATGCTCTATTTTGAACTGTCTGAGAGTAATCTGGTTTCTTTCTTTTTTAAAAGAAATACATTTTTACTGATTTCAGAGAGGAAGGGAGAGGGAGCAAGAGATAGAAACATCAATGAGAGAGAATCATTGATGGTCTGCCTCCTGCCTGCCCCCTTCTGGGGATCAAGTCCAAAACCCGGTCATGTGCCCTGATCGGAAATCAAACCCTGACCTCCTGGTTCATAGGTCAAGGCTCATCCACTGAGCCACACCAGTGGCGCCAATCTGATTTTTAGAGGTTGTCTTAACACATTTCAATTGTCACCTTCCCCCACCCTTAAGACAGAATTATTTGAGTTTTTGCAGACGTTTGGTATAGAACTATCACATGAAGTCTAGAAGGAAACACGAGTCATCGTGTTTGTAAATTCAGCACCTAATTCAGTATTGCATACTTGTTTGAATGTAATTGTGTACAAATTCAATTTGCACAGGAGGTCGATTGGTCAGTTTCTCTTTTTTTCTCTTTTTTTTTGGAATGCCTTCTTTGTGTCAGTCACTGTATTACATAATAATAAACAACAACTAAGCTATGTAAATTGCTGTTATGGCTACAAATGATTCTCAAACGAAAATTCTAGCAGTATGAATTAATTTGAGCACTATTTGGGTAATTCTAACTCCTTGGCTTTTCTTACTTTAGTGATATTGAAAAAAAAATTCCAAATGATGTTTTATTTCCTAGTGTGACTGTGAAATACTATGGAAAAGCATCTCACGCTGCTGCATATCCCTGGGAGGGAGTAAATGCATTAGATGCTGCTGTTCTCGCCTACAACAATCTGTCTGTGTTAAGACAGCAAATGAAACCAACCTGGAGAGTTCATGGTATGAATGCCAGATATTTTGTGTAATAGATGGTGCTTAATATATTTCAATGCAATATAATTACTTAATATTTGATTTTTAAAAATTAGAAACATTGGGTATAGAAACATTTGTCAGAAGTTATGTGGCAGGACACTAGGATGCTTGCCTATTTGTGGGTCAGACGACATATAAGATTATTATTAAATATAAATGGAACAGTCATTTTGAGTATTAGAGGTCAGTAGTTTTATATAAGGACCTTTCTATGGTCATTTGAAAGTTGGAACTTGACTTTCCAGTTATCCTATCTTTTAATGATAACAAAATTTTGTCATTTCCTCAATTTAAAAAATTTAGGGTTACTAGTTTTTATTTATTCAAGTGCTGTTAATCCTAAGTAACATCTTTTAAACTTACCTTTATATCAATACAGTAATAAAGTACTGTCTTGAAGATACAAATTTATTTTTTAGTTCATTTCTTTATGATTTGGGAAATTACTATATTTCAATATCTTTTTTTTTACCTGATTTAGCTGTAGGCTTAAATTAGTTTGTAATTACACTACCTTAGTTTTTAAAAAGTACTTTATAAAGCAGGTTATATACAATTAGATTTTGTATATCTATTTTAGTTATAACTTTGAAGAGCTAAATCTTCCTTCTCTGTGTAGTTCCAAATAAATGCATTTGTTTTAATAGTTTTAATAGTACTTAGTGATCTTTGACACATTATTTTTTTTGGCATAAAAATTATTTTCCCTGAGTCAAATGCCTTTTAAAATACTCATGCAGTTGTTTAAGTACAAGGGTAATTATAGAACTTCACACTATTGGGGTTTTTTCTCTTCTCATATAAAAAGTTTATCAAAATGTACAACTGTAGATTAGAAAACTGTGGTACATATACACAATGGAATACTATGCTGCGGTAAAAAAAAAAAGGAACTCTTGCCTTTTGCAACAGCATGGATGGAACTGGAGAGCATTATGCTAAGTGAAATAAGCCAGTCAGAGAAAGATAAATACCACATGATCTCACTCATTTGTGGATTATAGAGAACAACATAGACTGATGAAAAGGGACAGACTCAAAGACTGAGAAACAGCAATCAGGCTATCAATCCCCAGAAGGAAAGTAGGGGAGGGTGGGGGTAAGGGGAAGAGATCAACCGAAGGACTTGTATACATGTATATAAGCCATACCAATGGACATGGACAACAGGGGGATGGTAGCATGAGTGTGTGTGGGGGGGAGGTTGGGGGTTAATGGGGGGGATGAGGACACATTTGTAATACCTTAACTAATAAAAAAAAAATAAAAAAAATGTACAACTGTAATATAAGCTACTGAAATAAAAGCATTTTCCAGAAGGCTTAATATAGTTATAAATTTCTAACAGTTCCTTAAAGTCAGGAATAATAATTTATTATAAATTCCTTAGAATAAAGTACATATAATTATTTTATTTCTTTTCCTGTAGGCTGGAAAGTATCACACTATGACGTATAGAAACTTTTGTTGTACAGCAAAATCTTTGATTGGCATATCTGTGAAGCATATACGTTTGAATTATTTTTCTTTATGTACAAATTAGCTGGAAAATGTTATGCGTGTATTTAAGCTTAAAGAAATGGTCTCCAAGCTCAATTCCAGTAATTTGGTTCTTTTTATAGGTATAATAAAAAATGGTGGTGTAAAACCCAATATCATTCCCTCTTATTCTGAATTAATCTATTACTTCCGTGCACCCTCAATGAAAGAACTTCCAGTTTTGACCAAAAAGGCAGAAGATTGCTTCAGAGCTGCAGCTTGTGCTACTGGGTGCACAGTAAGAACTTTTAAGAGTTAATCTAAATTATAATCAGACATATATATATGTGGACTGAGGTTGTTTATATTAAATTAGATTAGAACCTTGCTTGCTTTTTCATTTGGTGTTGTCTTGAATATGTAAATTCCGTTGACTGAATAGTTGATGTGAAAGTCTTCACTTGTTACTTATTTTACTCTGTCTGCACCAGGACGACTACAGTCATCTTATCACACAGTAATTGGAATAACTGATTCTGCTGAGCTAGAATTCCTGTCTTTTTGCAAGTTATATCTGTTCTTATCGGTAGTTATGCTTTTAGAATTGCTCTATATAGTTTCCAGTGCAAAATCAGCAAAAGCTATTTTTTGGCGAAGTTATAGATAGGTAGAGCAGGGCCATAAATACTTATGGCTTACTGGAGTGAAAGTTAAAATAGACACAGAAGTTAGTCAAGAGGTTTTGTTCATTTGCACCATGAAGTCAGTAACATTCATGTACCAATTCTGTAGGGCATACAGTGGCATGAGAAGTTACAGAATGGCATAAATTTTGCCCTGGAGGGCGCCAGTCATCTGGTTGGAGAGACAAGAACTGGATCTGTGCCTCTGAGCTTCACTGATTCTGTAACATTTGGAAACGTTATTTAATATCTCTTAGCCTCCATTTTATCTTGAAAAATGGAGGTAATATAACCTATCTTAGGGTTCTTGTGAGAATTAAGTGAGGTCATGTTTATGAAGAGTTGGGGTCTAACCTTCATACATAATACTTTCTTTTCTTTTTTCAAATTATAAGAGAAAGTTTATTTAGAAAGTCACAGAGGTAGTAGAAGTGAGCCAGCTGGGATGCATAGACTCAGGAAACAAGTTACTGAGGCAGAAGGGCCCTTGGAGCTCAGGAGAAAGAAAGGCAAAGACGAAGTGCCTGGGGAAGGCGCAGCAGGCACCCGGGAGGGACAGAGCCAGGACCTTATTTTTTCCTGCCCTCCTGGACTGGAGAGGTGATTTATTCAGATAGTAGCCGTGTCTCAGACAGTAACAGTGATTTGCAGACAGGATATGTTAAGTGTCCAAAGTAAAAAATGAAGCATTTGACCCTTGTTTATGTATAATTATAAATATTTTAAATATTTATTTAGAAAATGAATACATGAACTATGGTCATTCACTAGTATCTCAAGGTGTAATATTTCCTTAGGATAAGGTTCATTGTTACTGGATTTAAGTCTATATTTTAAATAGTTTTTAGTAACTTTTTATATTTTGGCTGACTTATAATATCTGATTAAGTTGTCATTGTTTCTAATTTAGATGTTGCTAAGGTTAGATGTCATCTTTGCCATTTTATAATTGGCTTTTGCTAACGTCCAAGGTGTTATCTTTAGTTTGAGTGAGTGGTGGCCTTTTGATTTAATCAAACCTAGATCTGTGAATTGTGAATCTTCTTTTTCTCAGGGTACCTTTGTACCTTTCAGACCAGGCAGTGGTGTCAGTATCGGTTTATATACTGAACATTAGTAAAGTGTAATTTCTTCTTGTAGAAGCCACAGCCTAGAGCAGTGTTTCTCAGAGTGTTTGGACCACCTACGTCAGAATTACTTGGGGGTGCTGGTTAAAGTGGAGATTTCTGACACCACCCCTCCCCCCACACTCAGACACCTACCCTACTGAGGTGACTGGAGTTGAGACTCACTGACTAGTAGAGCTAGGTGACATCATGGGATTTGGTGCATACATAACAAAGGAGACAGGGTACTAGGAGCTCTCAGTAACAGAATACATTTTTGTAAGGTAAGAGACTTGAAAGAGTTTATATCCAGAAGGGAACATGCCCCTTCTTAACCTCTTGCTATTAAAAAAAACCATTGCTGGTTTGAAATTTAGATGGTGAATTTGAGGTGTTTCTTATTCAAAATTTGTGTTTTAATTTTTAATAGGTAGAAATTAAAGGTGAAGCACATGATTATTACAATGTCCTTCCCAATAAGAGCCTACGGAAAGCTTATATTGAAAACGGGGAAAAGCTGGGAATAGAATTCATTTCAGAAGAGGATGCAGTGTTGAATGGATCTTCAGGTAATTAAGTTCTTTTATGTATTGTGCTATTTGAGGAAAAGAATTCCTTCTTTGGTTCTCTTTAACAGATTTGAAGGTAGGGAGATATTGCTGATGCTTTTAATTATATTTTTCACAAACTTAATGGCTAGGGGAAGGAAACTAATGAATTCTTCAGTGATTGTAGAGTGTCAAATGAGCAGGTTTGTTTTTAGAAATAGGCAACATACTGCCTGGCTGGTGTTGCTCAGTGGTTGAGTGTCTACCTATGAACCAGGAGGTCACAGTTCGATTCCTGGCCAGGCCATATACCCAGGTTGCAGGCTCAATCCCCAATGTGAGGCACGCAGGAGGTAGCTGATCAATGATTCTCATCATTGATGTTTCTAACTCTCTCTCCCTCTCCCTTCCTCTTTGAAATCAATTTAAAAAAAAAAATATATATATATATATATATACACACACACACACACACATATGTTTATATATATATATATGAAGTAGCCAGCATACTTTTTGCTTTATATTCTAAGTATTTCCAGTGTTAAATTTTCTTAGTTCTAAATTTTAAAAAATAATTTTGTATTTTTTTATTACAGTTGACATACAGTATTATATTAGTGTCAGGTGTATAATCCAGTGATTGGACATTATATAACTTAGTAAATGATCACCCATTACAAACAAGTTTTAAATAAGCTGCTAAAAGGGGAAATAGAATTTCAGTTCATTCTTAATCATCAGTATGCAGGCTACTAAGTACTTAAGTAGTTATATGGGGTCATTTTTGGTTTCTGAGAAGCAATAAGCAACTGTTAAAATTTAAATAATCATAAGTCTGTTGGGGTTTATTTTAGATTTTTTTCCCTTTAAAAACATTACTAATATATTTGCATCTTAGAGATGTATTTCCTAAAATATGATAATAGATGTTGATGAAGTAGACTCAGAAAAACTTGGTGATAAAAATGAGGTGTTGATGTCATTCATTAAGATAAGGAATTCAAGAGAAGGAGCAGGTCGAGGTATATGGGGAGGTATAAATGATTAGTATGTTAAATTTGAGGTGCTTACAGGATTTCTAAGAGGAGCTGTTCAGTGGCCTGTTGAATCTGGAACTCCCAAAAGTTCCAGATTTTAGGAGTTTTCAATATCAGAAAGGTATATGAAAACAGTTAATGAGGTTGCCCAAGAAATCCTAGGGCTCTCTAGCACTTAGGACACAAGCAAAGGAAGCAATATAGAGGAGACAGAGAGTGGTCTGAGAAAGCCAGTCAGTCAGGAGAGTGTGGAGTCATGGAAGCCAAAGGAGTGGGGAATGTCGAGAAGGGAAGGAACAGTAAGTCATGCCAGGTGCTACGAAGACTGAATGAGGTAAGTATGATCGAATATCCATTGGACTAGCAATTAGAAATTCATGGATTGTCTTACTTTCCCAAGGATCTACTGATTTTGGAAATGTTAGTTTTGTGGTTCCTGGAATTCATCCATATTTTTACATTGGATCTGATGCCTTGAATCACACAGAACAATATACTGAAGCTGCAGGTAAGTGTTAGAAGTGAATATTTTGGCACGTGCCCTCCTTTTGTAGTAGTTGCTGCCTTCCTGATTGTTTAGTTTAGATTAACATCACCTCAGAAAACTCTATATTGTGGTGGGCAGTGGAGAGGCAAATTAGATATTGAGAGCGAGCCTGAAAACTAATAATTTATAATAATACTTTGATTTGTTTTCTCAACCTTTTAGGATCACAAGAAGCTCAATTCTATACTTTGCGTACAGCCAAAGCTCTGGCAATGACTGCGTTGGATGTTATTTTTAAACCAGAGTTGCTAGAAAGAATCAGAGAGGACTTTAAATGGAAACTTCAAGAAGAAGAGTTTTTAAATAGAGTTGAATAAGAGGAAGATTGAGGAGAAGTGATGATTTTTTTTTTTCATTTTTAATGAAGGAGGAGGGCATGTTTGTTTTTCAATCTTAAAGGAATCAAATTTCTCTTCCTGAAAAGTGAGGACATAGTGTTGAGAAAACACATGAACTCTTAGCTAAAATTAAAATGTTCACAAATCTACATTTGATGGAATTGTGATCTTTCAGGAGCTGGTATGTGGTGGCATTTCTTAAACAACTTGGGTAACACATGGTTTATCAGTAATAATAGTGTATAAGTTCATATGTTGTGTAAGTATATTTCAAAAGGTCCAAGAGATTTCAAACCTTATATTCAGAATTGACTCATGAAAGATTTTTTCCTGATATAGGGTGGTAAAATTGTTTTAGAAAGTAGTTTTAAAATTCAAGTTCTGAATTTGAAGGAAGTTCATTTTGATGTCTGACTATGTTTGTTTTGGTTTAGAGACTGTTTTCATTGGTAATAAAAGTAGGTTTTAAATCAGAAATGCTGTGGGAAACAACCAGAAACTCAGGTACAAAGAATAAGCTTTAGTTTATGTTAATTGTAATAGAAAATATTACAGATGCATAATATTAGACCCTTCCTGTAAGTTGTCTGCTTGATAGTCTGGTGCAGCGGTTCTCAACCCTTTGGCGGTCGAACGACCCTTTCACAGGGGTCGCCTAAGACCATCCTGCATATCAGATATTTACATTACGATTCATAACAGTAGCAACATTACAGTTATGAAGTAGCAACGAAAATAATTTTGTGGTTGGCTCACAACATGAGGAACGTATTTAAAGGGCCAGAAGGTTGAGAACCACTGGTCTAGTGTGTTCTGTATAAGTACCGCGCGCTAACCGATTGCGCCACTGGAGCTCCTAGTGTGTTCTAAGCGGACTTAATGAGAGAGGAACAATGTCTATCTTGAATGCTAATTACTCAGGCTTCTACTCAGAAACCAGGCTGTCCAGCCTGAGTACACAAAGTATTGTAAGTTTTTCCTGGTTCTTATTTTAATATGAATTTTTTAAACGTGATAAAAGGATGTTGGAAAAGTATCTGATTAAACAAATATTTTAAGCTGTGAATATAGCAAAGCTTCAGTATATTTTATTTTAAAGGGAGTCCTCAAACTTGAGAGTAAATATTCTAAGATGGAAGGGGAAGGAGAGAAAAGTGAGCATTTGGCCTCTGCTGTAAGCAAGTCATTTGGGCCCCTCTGAGCCTTCAGCTCTCCATTTGGGAAGTTAGATTAAATCACTTAACACTTACAGTCCTTTGAAACCCCAATTCCTAATAGTTTTGGGGAGTGTTGGTACTTTAGAATTGCTTATCTTCTACATCAAGGGTCAGCAAACCACAGTCTGATTTGGCAAGCAGCCTGAATTTATGTGGCCAGCATGCTGAAAAATAACTGGGGAGGGGAGAAAGGAACAGAGACCAGATGATGTGACCTCAAAACTAAAAATATTTACTGTCTGGTCCATTACCAAAAAATGTTTGCCAGCTCCTGTCCTATATAACAGTAAAATAAAACCTGTTTCTCTTTGATTTCCATCATATAATCAGATGTTCTCCTAGGATAAAACTCACGCCTCTGTATTGAAAATAGTGACAAGAGGGATGTAGATGGCAGTGCCCTGACTTGACCGTTACACACTGCCAAGTTTGTCCTCATTGGAGTTCTGGCCCTTCAGAAGTTTGCCTTCTTTTAGCATTTACTTCATTTGGGGATGCAGCTACCCTGCTGCCTTAAGACCTTGCCCTGTGAAAGCCAGTCTTCTAACTTTCCATCTCAGCCTTCAGCATTTGAACCTTCTCGCTGCCCTTTGTCTGACTATAATCTCAAGAAGTCATGGTTGGTGTATATTTTATATACAGGGGAGGGACCCACAAAGGTTTCAGGCTGAGAATTGGTTATGTCCGAGACCTCCAGTTTATATGAATAGTTAGTTTCTAATAACCAATTTTATAAATTTTCCAACTGTAAGTTTTAAATTCCTGCACTTGGGAATGGGGTTTTATTTTCTAAAGCCTTGATAACATTTTAGAACAGTGATTGCTAACTGGTATCCAACACACTAATATTCTCCCATCTTCTGTGAAGTGTTACAAGTTGTTACTCATACAAACTATTTGTGGTTTTCTTGTGATTAAATTTCTTTTTAAAAACATATTGGAGAACATTGAAGACAGCATTCTCTTGCTTCACTTGCATTCTTGTGTGGGAGAGCAGATTGTGGCGTGCAGGTTGCTGGCACGCAGGGAACGGGTATAATCTGCACCATGGCGTCCGCCACAACCCAAGGTGAGGAACTAATATTCATGTACTACTAAGATTTGGGTCACTTTTGAGTTTCTGTCATATTTTATTTCTTTTTCAATTTTTGAAAAATTTGGTCCAAATAAGGGTCTACCCATTGGACTAGGTCATGGAATTATGTCAGGAAAGAGGTTGAGAACTGATGTTCTAAGTGTATCTAGAAGTATGAGATTTTTCCCCAGATCTTTGTTTTACATGATGTTACTTTAACATTTTTTATATAATTCAGATTTTAAAATACCTTTTTAATTTTCATATACCAGTGAGTTAATTGAGCCATATTACACTATAAAGTGTAAGTAAATACATAAATAAATGCTGGAGTCAAATTCTCATGTCCAGAGCTACCGACTGTAACTAATCTTTGTTGGGCTGTTTGAATTTGGGAGAGTGCTTCCTTTTGTAGTGCTAGTTTTTCCTTTTGGGACTAAGTTCTTTCTTTACCCTCATACTCCAGTGGCGTGTTTTCTAAATAGTTGTGCTAAATTTCCCTAAGTATTTATTCTTAGCTTAAATTATTATTGTTGGCTGGTTAGTTGGTTCTTACATTTTGGATTAAATCTCCAAACATTTTGGAAGTTAAAGAGGGAACATTAGATTATAGGTGAACAGTGTCACTTTTAGAAGGGTTATATTTAGCTCTTTATGTTTAAGAGATGAATCCTTATTTTTAGAAGGTTGAAAAATAAATAGAACTTTAAAATTTTTTTGTTTTTTTGTTTGTTTTTTTTTGTTTTTGTTTTTGTTTTAAATTAAATCTTTATTGTTCAGATTATTACATTTGTTCCTCTTTTTTCCCCCCATAACTCCCCTCCTCCCAGTTCCCACCCCACCCTCCGCCCTCACTCCCCACCCACTGTCCTCATCCATAGGTGCACGATTTTTGTCCAGTCTCTTCCCGCATCTCCCACACCCCTTTCCCCCCCAAGAATAGTCAGTCCATTCCCTTTCTATGTCCCTGATTCTATTATGATCACCAGATTATTTATTCACTTGATTCTTAGATTCACTTGTTGATAGATGCATGTTTGTTGTTCGAATTTTTATAATTTTGTATTTTGTTCTTGAGGAAGGGGGCAAGTAAGTTTTCCTCTCAGAATTGGTTTGAGTGATGAGGTTCTTATTATTCCTTCACAAGATTATGTAGTTTTTGAAGCTACAGTCTTTTCAATTTGCTTAATTTGTTTCAGGTACACCAAACCTGACTCAGTTGGGGGGAAAAGGCCAAGCTCATTTAGTGCAAAGTTTAAGATTATATGACTTTTTAAAATGTTAAATTAGTTTCTGACCTAAACTAGAGGTATAGGTGGACCTGCTTGAGGTGCCTTTGTTTTTATGGAAAATGTTTTTATTACACACACACCTTTTTCAAAACCTTTTCCCCAAATCTCAACTTTTGGCTATTAATGTTAAAAGGTATAATCCGGCCCTGGCTGGTGTGGCTCAGTTGGTTGAGCGTTGTCCCTTGCAGATGATTGGTAAGAGTACTTGCCCAGGTTGCGGGCTAGATCCCTGGTAGGGTTGCATGTGGGAGGCAATTGATTGATGTTTCTCACATCGATGTTTCTCCCTGTCTCTCCCTCTCCCTTCCTCTCTGTCTAAAAATCAATAAAGTCATGTTTTTAAAGGTATAATCCAAATTAATCTAAATTTAATTACAGATTGAAAATATTTTTCTCTTTACTGACTTAATTTTATTTTTTTCCATCACCATTTATATACTCTATGCCCTTTTCCAACTCTACCCACCCACCTCCCCCCCATCCCACAATTACCACACTGTTGTCCATGTCCATAAGTTATTTCCCCGCCTTTTTTTTTTTTTTTTTTTGGTTTCATGTATTTTTATTGATTTCAGAGCGGAAGGGAGAAAGAGAGAGAGAAATATCAATGATGAGAGAGAATCATTGATTGGCTGCCTCCTGCACACCCCACACTGGGGATGGAGCCCACAACCCGGGCATGTGCCCTGATATAGAATCAAACTGTGACCTCCTGGCTCATAGGTTGACACTCAACCATTGAGCCACACTGGCCAGGCGATCTCTCTTCCTTTCCCACCCCCCTCAATCCCTCCATGTAGCGACTTAATTTTAAAAGCAGGCCTGAATAGGAGGCATGTATAAAACAATCATGTGGTACTATGAATAACTAAGTTGCTATGTATCATATAAGATTGAGGATAGCTAATATTTAGCTTGCCTCTTATAATTTTCAGACTGTTTTCTAGTTTCAACATACTCTAAGTATTTTGTAATCTAATTTTATAGATGAGGATGGCGCATTTTGATATGTATGACGTTAATTTCAAGTAAGCAGTCACTGTCTACTACCATCAGATGACAGTAGTTTTAAAAAACATTTTAATACGTATTAGAGTATGTTTTAAAAAGTAGATTGTTAATAAATGTTTTCTAATAGTGATTGTCATGTGTTTTTTTCCAACATCACACCATTATGCAAATATAAGATAAAACATAATCACCCAAATATACTATTTTATGATCATTAATGCATTGTTATCACATGATGTTAGTGTGCTTTTAAATTATGTTATATAATGAGAATTTTAAAGAGCAATTAAGTTCTTTTGCTTAAAAACTGATGTTTTCATAGTCTTAGAACCTGAAAATTTAAACGAAAAAAATATCAGGTCAAGGTATCCCAGCCTTCCCTTCATTCAAGGCTTCTGAGGCTATAAGTAGGCTCAAATCTGAGAATTTATTAAGGGGCTGTGACTCTGTTTTTTTTAAATTTGAGTTAGATTTTTGTTCATTTGACCTAGAACTTTTATGCTCATACAGATCACAGAAGAATTTAGCAGGCTTTCTACTTCATTTCTGAGAACACTATGCATAACAAACGAAAGCCATGGTTCTGTGTGCGTTTGACTATCCTGATTGCTGCTGTGACTCTGCTGTCCATTGTGGCAGACTCTGGCCACCGAGTGCCACCACGTGGCCCCTGCCACCCAGGATCCAATTGCTGCCACTGCATTCAGGCTTTCCAGTTGGGTCACTGCAGTTCCCACTATAGCAGTGATGGCGAACCTTTTGAGCTCGGCGTGTCAGCATTTTGAAAAACCCTAACTTAACTCTGGTGCCGTGTCACATATAGAAATTTTTTGATATTTGCAACCATAGTAAAACAAATTTTTGATACTTATTTTATATATTTAAATGCCATTTAACAAAGAAAAATCAACAAAAAAATGAGTTCGCGTGTCACCTCTGACACGCGTGTCATAGGTTCGCCGTCACTGCACTTTAGCGTGTGGCCTACAGAGAAGAGCAATCACAGAGCTCTTCAAGGGGCCCCACTCACAAATTTACTGCTCCGAGTATTGGACCTTCCCAAGCTGGGTGAGTAGTTTCACATGACAAGCCCACTCTATGGGACTTGGCTATAGTAGCTCCGCAGACTAGTACAGCATCCTATATGATGGCATTTCCCAGACTAGGCAGATGGATGTTCAGATGATGTACCCTGGAAATCTGCTAGAATCTAGCAGCTAGATAATTTAAGGTGGTCTTGGTTATAAGGAAGAAGCCCTTGACAAAGATATCTGTGAAGCGTTTGAAATTGTTTCATAAAATCAGCATAAAAAAGTAATGTTTTAAAAATAAAATTTAATATTATAGTTAGCAATTAACTATTTCTTTTATATCTCTTTAAGTTTATTTACCCAAGTGTCAAAAAACTTTTTTTGATGAGCTCTTATTAGGGAAAATTGCCTTAGGATTTGTGCAAGTATGTTTTGTGTATGGTTTTTGTTAATCCTTACCTGAGGCTGTTTTTTCCAGTTATATTTAGAGAGTGGAAGGAAGGGAGAGAAACATTGATGTGAGAGAGACATATCAATTGGTTGCCTCCCACATATGTCCCTACTGGGCTGAGGATCCTCCAGGATTGAATCTGCAACCCAGGTACCTGGCCTTGACCGGGAATCGAACCCAAGGCCCTTTGGTGCATGGGCTGACACTCTAACCACTGAGCAACATAGGCCAGGGCTGGGGTTTTTTTCCAGATGGGAATAAAGTATATAGTCCTTCCTGTATATGAAAAATGCAATATTATTTAGTATAAATGATTAGACAAATTAACTTGGAATGAAAATTACATTATTATGTATAGCATTCACTTTATTAAAGTGAGTTTCAAACAAATGCTGTTTGGATAAGTTTGATGGAGGTTGATCCTATCGATATATATTAGTAACTATTTGTTTTAAATGATACAACAAATTAGGACCCTCTCCTTTGTCCCATGCCCTGACATTAGTGGCCATTGTTTTCTGGTTCGGAGAAAACGCTGGTATTCATTGAGTCTGAATGCAGATGTCCAGTGTTGTCTTCCCATTTACTTTGCTTTTTGATGTTCTTTTTCTCTTCAGAAACCATGTGAATGTTTCTCATCCTAATAAGTTACAGGTAGTCCCAAACTATGCATTTTCTTCTAGTGTTTATACGGGAAAAAATCAGCCTATTCCCAAGTTCCTCAGTAAAGATATTCCTAAGGAAGGACTTTGAACTAGGACATGTTCCATGGCGGAGATACATGAAGCAGTAATTATAAGACAGGAAACACTTAAACACTAGTTATCGCTACCACAAAACTGACAAAATGCCATGCATGCCCCTTATCCTCAAAGTATCCCGACCAGGGAAACTCCTACCAAAAGCAAAGCCATTGCACCATCGAAAGAGCTTTTCTCCTGAAGAGGTGAAACTTCATGATCCACAAGATGTAAATGCAAATAGGAATGTCATTATTGCCTTGTAGTGAAATAAACATGAGGCAATACACTAAAAATAGGTGGTAGGCTATAAACTGAAGCATGAATTTTGGTCAAAGTGGGGACTTGTAGGTGCATGTATGTTTCATACAAATGAACTTTAGGTGTAGTCCAAGTGCACCTCGTCCAAAGAATGTAACACAAAGGAAATCATCCCTGTGTGTAAGCATTTAGGGTGTAAACGAGGTTGAACTACAGTGTGCCCACAAGCCTGTCAGTGTATTTCCAGGAGATTCCAATCCAGTAACAACTGTCTTCAGTTGCTGTGGGTATTGTATTTATGCAGCACCTAGAATCATTCTGTCTGTACAATAGATGGCTCATAAGTGCAAATTAAACCAGGAAGTCTCTTGTCAAGGTAGTTTTGGACAAGGGTAGGTACTGGGAACTTTTTTTTTCCATAACCTTACTTTTCATCATACAGATATTTCTGTAGCACACACAAAAGAATGAAATTTACAGAATTACAGGCATCTATGAGAAAATTGACCAGTATATTAAATTGAATAAAATGTACGCTGCTGGAAAAATGATCCTGGAGTATTTATCAATGGCGTGGGTGTCGATCCTCATGCTCACGTAGCTGTTCCTCCGACTTTTCCTCTGCAGGGAGCTCCTCTCGGAGGCCAGGGTGAGCTGCACCATCATCCTGTCTGGCTTCTCGCCATTCTCTGGCGTGTAGTTGCCGAGGTCATTCACCTCCACGTCGCTATAGCTGCTATCCAGCATGACAGCGCGCGGCTGAGGTGGTCCGCAGGTGCAGGGAAGCTGCGAACACAGCAAGCACGTTGGGATGTGAGCTCAGCTTCCGCTCTCAGAAGCCCCTCTTAGGAGAGACTGCATAGTGGAGAGGGTGGCCTTTTTCTAGTTTCTTTTATTCCCAGTTGGGGTGGGAGGTGGGACAATAATGGTGGCGGCACAGTAAACAGTCTAAAGTAGCAGGTTATTTGTTTAACTAAAGTCTACAAATCAACTCTTAGGAAACTTCATGTCATACCAGAGACCAAGAAGAATGTTCATGGCCAGAGCACCGCCCTATTCTCCACCAGAGCATTAACTGCTAGCAGCCGGGCTACAAATGTTTACAGGTAACACTCCTGAGAGACGGAGAGGAGCGGGAGGAGGAATTTGAAAAGCGTGGCATTAGTTTGCTACCATATAGTTAGAGTTTTCTGTAAGAGATAACCACTGAGCTGCAGGCAGGAGGAAGAAAGAAAAATCAGGTGGAAGGGAAAATAACCTGGAAAATTATGTGAGGTGTTTGAGATCACGTATGAAGAGAAATTCCTTAGAATAGCATATGTGCTTCTCTGGAAGCTTCTTTTTTAAAAAATATATATATATATATATATATATATATATATATATATATATATATATATTTTATTGATTTTTACAGAGAGGAAGGGAGAGAGATAGAGAGTTAGAAACATCGATGAGAGAGAGCCATCGATCAGCTGCCTCCTGCACATCTCCCACTGGGGATGTGCCTGCAACCCAGGCACATGCCCTTGACCGGAATCGAACCTGGGACCTTTCAGTCTGCAGGCCGACGCTCTATCCACTGAGCCAAACCGGTTTCGGCTGGAAGCTTCTTTAATTACACCTCTGCGCTATTAAATAATTTGTTCCACTATGCTGAATTGGCACTTATTTTTATCACTATGAACACCACCAGAATTAAAGGGACCAACGTCTTAGTTAACTTGGCTTAGCAGCTCCTGGTATATGGTAGGTGCTAAGTTAAGTGTTTGCATGAATGAGGATGTAGCCCAGAGTGAACTGCACACTGTTTCAACATGGTAGCTTCCAACCCCATCAAGTAGGTGGAAGAAGGCATGTCAGCCCCATTGTACAGAGGACCTCTGACCTGCCCAAGGTCCAAGGGCCAGAGCTAGACCAGGCTACATGCCTGAGCAGACATTTCAGCTCATGGGAGTCACCTTCTCCCGCAGCTTCCGCTCCTTCCGCTCCTGCACAGTGGTCAGGTAGTTGACGGCCGCGTACTCCAGCACCGAGAGGAACACGAACACGAAGCTGACCCAGAGATAGATGTCCACGGCCTTGATGTAGGAGACGCGGGGCATGGAGGCGTTCACGCCCGTGATGATGGTGGACATGGTCAGCACCGTGGTGATACCTGCAAACAGAGTGAGAAACAAGCACCTGCTTGTCTTCCACCCAGCATACCAGAGGGCTTCACACCTCTGTTCTTTGTCCCTCCTGCTCCTTCGGCCTTGAACGTCTACATCCCTGCCCCCCTGTCTAACAAACACTCGTCCTTCAAGATCGAGCCTTTATGAAGCTCTCCAGTTCCTCCTCCCCTCATATCACCCTTCCCCACTTTGTATACCTGCTTACTCTTCATAGCACCTGCATCACCTTCTCCTGTTGCTAAGAACCCCAGACATTTTGGCAGCAAGACATTTATTTTCATTCAATGGTTAAAAGAAAAATTACATAAATGTTTCTTGTAACTACTTCTCCAAAGAAGGAAACAAGTGCTTGGGTTTATTTGACTATTGGTGTCCTTGTTGTGTGGTCTTGTCTTGTAGTTCCAGGCCTGTATCATCAACTATCAGGACACCTCTGGCAGACAACCACCCCCCACCTCCACCCCATCCACTGGGCCTGCCTGCCTATTCAGCAATGTCCATTTAATCAAAGATGATGATGTTAACCTCATTTAAAGGAGACGGTATTTAAAATTAGAATGTATATGTATGTTTTTCGCACAGTAACTGTTTAAGCAACAGAACAACTGTTAAAGGACAGGGCATCTGTCAGTGGAAATTTGCTCTGGATTTCAAATTAAGCTCAGAACATTTGCTTGCAAACACTAAATCACAGGGGATTGGGGTCATCTTAAGGGCCAGCTCCAACCCAGTTTCACTAAAAGCTGGTAGGTCACCCTCTCCCTTGAAGCCCCTGAACTGTCTGAGCAATAATAGTGTGTGATTGAGTAGATGCAATATTCATTTATTTATTATTTTAAATAATTTTATTGATTTTTAGAGGGAGAAGAAGGGAGAGGGAGAGAGAGAGAAAGACATCAAGGGGAGAGACAACAATTGCTGCCTCCTGCACGCCCCCAACCAGGGATCAAGCCCACAACCCGGGCATGTGCCCTGACCAGAAGTGGAACCAGCAGCCTTTTGGTGCATGGACTATGCCCAACCAGCCAAACCGCACTGGCTACGGCTAGCCAGTGCAATATTTAAAATGGGGAAGAGAGTTGGTGGCAAATTGCTATAAATGGAATGTTCATAGAATAGGGGTTCTCAGACTTGAGTACGCATAAGAATTAGTGGGAGAACTTGTTCAAAATGCAGATTCCTGGTCCTCTCTCTGGATTCTCATTCTGTACATGTAGATGATATGCAGGATTCTTCTTTTTTAAAATGTACCTTGGAGATTCTGTCACAAAGATTCCTTGGGCCACTTTTGAGAAAACCTATTATAGAGTGTGATTTCCTTTTGCAAGTGGGCAGAGAGAGCACCCACAGACCGAGATCACCCATCCCAAAATGAGGCTCAGACAGGACTGAAGTTGAAACGTTTGCATGGGCACCGGTGGCGGGGGGTGGGGTGGGGGGAGCCTGAAAAGAATTTTTCTACCTGGATTTTTAATAATGGTACTTTACCTGTGAATAAAGAACTTGCAGTGTGTCCAACTTTTAACACCAAATAGTGGTTTACTAGTAGGAGCACTTTGAAATGAATGGTTTTATCTGGAAGGCATTATTTGTATTTTCAGATGCTTGGAATGTGCACTTGAAATATTCCTTACCTAAGGGGACTCTGGCAGGCACAGCTCTGCGGTCGATCCAGAAGGACACCCAGGACAGCATGACCATCAGGGTGGCAGGGAAATAAGTTTGGAGCAAGAAAAAGAAGATGTGGCGACGCAACGTGAAGTTAATGTACAGACGGTTGTACCAGCCTGGGGGACACAAGGAAGAAAATACAGCACACACCATAGGTATTCAGCTCCTTCATAAATCAAATTTTATTCAGGTAATCATCAATGTCTTAGACACTCCACTGGAACCTGGCCAGACCTTTACAAAGTGGAGGTGAGAAAAACCATGGAATGGAGTGATTATATGTTACCCATACCACACGGATGATTCCATCTCAAGAAATCTTTGACCCCTGTTCTATACACAAAGGGAAGGTCATTTAAGGATCTTGTTACTCACACGATGGACAGGACCCAACAGCATCACCATCACCTAAGAGCTTAGAAGATTAGACTCTCGATCCCCACCCCAGATCTACTGAATCAGAATTTTCTCTTAATAATACTCCCCATGTGATTCACACACACATTAAAGTTGGGGAGGCACAGATTTAAACAACCCCGTTTGGATGGTTTTATGGAGGAAAATGTGTTTTAAGTTAGAACATCAAGCTAAACACAGCATCGCGTTTAGGAACAGAGTGAACAATCACAGGTCCAGTCACGCCTCAGCTTGGCCTTTGTGGTCTTTACAAGGGAAAAATATGCATGGAGGAGTTGAGAGGAATGGGAGAACAATGAAAGGAAAGGCAAGATAAGCTCGAGATGACAAGGACTGGAAATAAAATGGGGACTTGGCAATGTTAATTGGAAAACTTGGCATCCAATTGGCAAGTTTAATGCAATGTTTATAATTATAACAGTTCCCGAAAGTGATTGTAGAGGTTCTGTGGACTGAATGTTTTGTGTCCCCACCCCACCCCTGAAATCCATATGTTGAAACCTAATGCCCAATGTGATGGTATGGTGAGGAGGGACCTTTGGGAGGTGATGAGGTTACGAAGGTGGAGCCCTCATGAATGGGATTAGTGCCCTTACACAAGAGACCAAAGAGAGTCTGGGAGGACACAACAAGAAGGGGGCTGTCCATGAACTAGGAGGTAGGCTCTCATCAGACACTGAATCTGCCAGCACTTTGATCTTGGACTTCCCAGGTCCCAGAACCGTGAGAAACAATTTCTGTTATTTAGAAGCCAGCCACCCAATCTGTGGTATTTATGAGAGCAGTCCAAACAGGCTAAGACAAAAGGGAATCTCACAGTGCTAAAGGTTCAATGGATGGGGAGCCCCTGAAGAACTAAGATTCATGGGTGATATGTAAAGAAGGTAAGATGTGCTAGATTGCCATAATATGTTGGAAGTAAAAGGTTGCCCTATGTTTACATCAGAAAGACTTAAAAGGTTGCACTTCCCTCTGTAGTCAATCATGCTATGTGTTAGCAATGGAAACTGCATAAAGATCCTACCAAAATCATCCTGAAAGGTGATTCGTCAAGAAAGAGGCAAGGGCTGGAAAGAGGAGAGACCTCAGCTGTTAACTTCAGATTCCAGAGGGAAGACCACAGAGCATACCCTCAGGCAACAGGAGGTGGCAAGCCTGCCCAGAACCTTGGTTCAAAAAACAAATTGCCCACAGGGAAATGACCAGTAGCTCTTGCACCGAGGCTCACAAGAAGGTCATAAGAAGGATCTGTGCAAGCAGCACAGTAAGAGAAGATCCCTTAAGACTGAAGCCCCGCGGAGGGCCTGGCTGAAGCAGAGAGAATGTGAATGGAAAATGACAGACCTGAAATTGGACTGCTTCTTGCCTGCAGAGAACAGGGGGTTTGGTAATCGTATCAGGGTGAACTGCCTGATGCTAAACAGTCATTACTGATGTTTTCTAGGTTCTCACTTCTGATGCTTTATTGACGTCAAAAAATCACCTCCACCCGATGCTCACCACCCCCTGACCTGATTTAGCTTTCCCTTCTTTGGTGTCTAATTCAAGTGGCACAGGCTCTACTCACTTGGCAGCCAGTTCGAACCCTTTTTTAAAATAGAGGATGGCCCATCCCAGTCAGGCTAGCACTCGCCAGATCCTCAGCCCACCCTACGCCCACCTGTGCTGCTGTAGAAGGCCAGCTTAGTGGTGGTGTGGAATTCTTGAATGAGGAACTGGGAGAGTGAGATCCGCTCATCTGTCTTTAATGAGTCATTGCCTTTTTTCCAGTACAGCATCAGGTCATCTTCTGTATAAGCATCTGAAAAGATGGGAGAGAGCATGAGGCATGTGGCGGTGGGAAG